ATGAAAGAATATATATTTTTTATTTATTTTCGTGAATCTCTGTTATTATATTCACCCTCAAATATAATATACAAGCAAATGATTTAACTGAACATTAGAAACAATAAACACAAAGAAACAATACTTTTTGAATTTGAAATTTTTGTTTTTAATTAATTTTCTTTACTAGGGAACTTAAAAATAAATTTGCAGCATTGCATCAAGGTCTTAGGTTCGCCAATGAAATTACCATCTGGTTAGAGAATGAGACAAACTCTGGGATTCCCCATTTTTCGGTGAATCTGGACTTACCTGTTTCTTGCATCATCGTTTTTCATCTCCTATGAAAACCTTAAAATCTATGGCTTACCTCAAAAATTAAATATTACTTCTAAACTCCTGTCCGACAATACTTTTTGACAGCTTATCAAGAGAAAAAGACTGAAATAATTTCTAAAAAGTTTTCCAGTTTTTATAAAAATATCCAAGAAACCAAATGTCACTGTATAAAAAAGCTTAATATTTAGTCCACTTTTTATAGAAAACGGCTCAATCTATTTAGACTAATTTCTTTATTTTTTATTTCTTTATTATTTGAAGCCATAAAAATGGTTTTGGCAATATTAAACAGTTATCAGTAATCTTGAGAGAAAATGACAATAAGAACTAAAATTTTATTTTCATTAATTTCAGATCAATAGATCCAATACGTACTTGTAATCTGTCATTTAATAGTTACAATCATTGTGCTGCACATGTTACAGCTGTACATTAGATGAAAGTAAAATAGGAACATGTTGCATTGCACAAACAAATCTTCTTACTTACTTTTTTAAAGCGTAATGCCATTGAAAAAAGTAAATAAATCAGTTTTAATATCAACAAATAATCAAATTTGTCGGTTCATAAAGTAATACAAGTTTAAAAACTTGGAAAATATCAGTAGCTATACTTTGGTTTTCAAAATTTACCAAATTCTAGATTTTATTACTCTGTAAACATTATTTCCTTTTTATGAAACCATTGCCAGATTTCATTGTTCCTTGAAATAATTGAATACACGTTTTGGTTTCATCTACAGAAGCATTCCATTGCACTACTAGAAACGATATATCCACAATATACTAGTGGATTCCGCAAAGTCAACATGCAATGTAACAATGTATGGCTATGTATGATATCAGGCAACTAATAAATAAATTGTAAATATGTGATTTAGTAAAGTACATAATCCCGAATTAATAAACCAATTATTATATAAATAATAATAATAATAATTTATAAAAATATAATAGTTTCTGATAGAATGATCAATCATTCACTCCTAGACACATACAATTATTATCTTAGGACCATAACCTCAGAGACACAAAAAACATTTATATTGTTTTCTCAAGAAACTAATCAACAAAATTGAACATAAATGATTTTAATACCGCTTATATTTAATTAGCTTCATACAATAAAAATTTTTTCATTGTAACATTTGAGAATCAAATATTACTGGAGTAAATTAGCACTTCTAAAATCGACATAATTTATGAAAATAGAGCCTTGGAGATAACAAAGGAAAAATAAAGTGAATAAGAAAAATGAATGACAAATAAGTTCTGTTTATTCTACAATCCCATGCCTTGGCAGTTAATACATGCTATTATTATATTTCTATGGTTCAACATTACGGAATGAATTTTTTATTAAACTAATCTTGTAAATTTATATTTGATAAAATGGCTAACTATCTCAAATTATTAAAGGTTATAAATAAAAATAAGTATAATTTAGGACAGCATAGACCTTTTTTTTATTTAAAAAAAAAATGTTTTATGGTAGTATTGACATTATTTTTATTAGACTTTCTAAAAAATATCCTCAAGAACATCTTTAAATTAAGCCTCTATTATTTCATAATATTTATAAGCAAAATTATCAATAATATTTATGACTATTCATGTAATGAAGTTTCGTATATCTGGGTTCAGAAATAAACACCCAAAATGACCTATCCCAGGAGATCAACCGGAGAATTGCTGCAGCCAATCGAAGCTATTTTGGGCTAGATAAGTACTTCAAGAGCAGAATCCTCTCCAACAAGACCAAGATTGGCCTACATGTGTCAGAGACCTGGGCCTTCACTAGAGCTAGTGAGAACCTCCTGGCGTTTGATACCTGGAAAAAGAGGAAGAACCAGGAACTATCAAGGCTGTACAGAAATCATGATATCATCAAGTATATTAAGATTGGAAAACTTTGATGGACGGACCACGTGGCGATGATGAAGGAGGATGAGATCCCAAAGAGGACATTGGCTGAAGAGCTTCATGGCAGGCGAAGAGTGGGTAGGCCAAATGTGAGGTGGGCTGACTCCATCACAGCGGACGCACACAATCTCCTCGGTGCAAGGAACTGGAGAACTGCAGCAACAGACAGGGCCAACTGGCTGAGACTTTTCGAGGAGGCCTAGATCCGTTAACGGATTGTTGCGCCAACTATGTCATGTCATGTAATGAAGTATGCAAAAACTGTTCGGCTTAAAATATGTACATATTATATCACTCAAGATTGAATGTTCATAAAACATCTATTTTTAATACCTCGATCTACTTTTAAAAATATTCAAACAACAAATGAAATTCTTGTTCACTACAAATGATTCAATATAATAAATCTTGAGCCTAAATAGTCATATACTTAACTATAATAAGACCTATTTGGACTTACGGAGTTGAGCTATGGGGCTCCACTAAACCATTGAATTCCTCTCGCATCCAATCCTTACAATCCAAAATCCTTTGTAAAATCCTCAATGCTCCTTACTTTGTCACTAATAAAATTATCCATAAAGATCTTAATGTTCCTTATGTTTCAGATCTAACCCAATCCAGATACCTATCCTTCCATAATAAACTTCAGAATCATCCCAACCCTCTCGTTTCTAACCTTGCTTCCTCTTCAATTCCTGATAACCCTCCGAGGCGTCTGAAAAGAAGATGGCCCCGTGATCTCATGTCATTATATCTATTATGTCCAAATTTACTTGATGTATTTATGTAATACAGTTGTAAATGTCACAAAGAAATAAAAAAAAAAAAAAAGATAACTATTGTTTGCCAATTTGTTGAAATTCAAACATAATCATTATTGAACATTTGTGGAAAATATAAATGAATTTAATGTTTCTAACATTTTTTTTCTACCCATGAACATTCATATGTTCACTTTTTTAATTACATACATACAAAAAAATTATTTTCGATAACTATGAAAATTCATATTTGAGGGTTTTTCCAGGTGTGAAATACCTATCCCAATTTGGTTTCTCCTTAAAAAAAATAATCAACAAATTAACATTCAAATTATTATTTATTAACACTGTTTCCATTTTTTTGTTATTGATAACACTAAAGCTCATCAATAGTTACTAAACAAAAACATCTGGTGTGTCCACTCACACGACTTTCCTACCTATTTCAGAATAGTTTTTATATCTTTACATATGTTCATGAAGAAACAAAAAAAAAATTGAACTAGATTTAATTTCCTGAAAATTAATCAAAGAAAAGATTTGAGTACGATTTATTTGATAAACTAAAGCAATAAAAACTGGCTAAAGGTAGATCAGTATAAATTATTCAATTCTCTCTAATATTGCTGATCAAAAACTTTTTACCATAGCTTAGTATAGTCAAACAATAAATTCTACTGAAAGTAGAGGAAATGGTGAAGCTTGTGGCAAAATGGCAACAAATTTTCTTACTTTCACTTAGTCACCAGGATATGAATCCGTCATCTTACATTGGAAATTGAATAGCTGTAAATTTGTTAATAGTTGTCCAAAATGAACGATTTTTATATAGTTTCATAGGGAATTTCATTGCCTTTCAAAAAACAGGCTAAATGGTGTTGTTTTTTTCGGACTCAGGGGGCTCTGAAATGTATAGATCCGTCAAAAACTGCATATCGGAAATTTGACTTATGGTAATACTTTCCTTACCTAGTATAGGTAGGAAAGTAAAAAGAATCGGTTGGGAAACAGAGGAGAAAGAGAACTGAACTGTTTTGCGTTTACCTATTTATAGAATGATAACCTAATTTTCAATAACAAATAAAAATTGAAAATTCAACGAAGTACCCAATTTTCATAAAGTAGGTAAAGAAATGTCATGCATTACTAAAGCAGAATTGATAGTGGATGACTTTTACAAATTAAGTAATTGTTTTTAATTTCGATTGAGGGTTAATTTAACAAGTAAAGCACATATTCTATCAGAGCAAAACCATATTATATTTTGATTATAATACCATTAGGTAGGTTACAATAGACTTCCATTGGCTTACAAGGTAAAGGAACTGCCAATGGTTTTTGTCAGTCGAGGTAGGATAGATAACAATTATGTTTGGTTTATTTCTAATTAAAACAAGACAAAATTACAAAGATTTAGGATAGGGCTGAAGATGTCAGAACTAATAAAGTTTCCTTCCTGTTAGATGCTGTTTATATTAACAAAATATTACAATACAAATGCAGTCGTCAGCAAAAACACATCAATAACTGATTTTTGTTTGGCCAGTTGAGAATATAATATCAAGAGTGCTGCCTTAAATTTTCTTAGATAATTCAACCAATTAAATTTTATGTTCAACCAATTTTAAATGAATATGACAGATATATACAACTACTTAAAAAAGTTTAAAATTCCTAAATTGTACATCCACAAATATAAATTATAATTTACACAAATATGTTTATTCTAAAGTGTTATGAAATCTACATTAATTTATTTAAAGACTATTCTGTTGATAGATCATTGTCCAATACCCATAGCTACATAATTCTTATACATTAAAGAATATTATAAACTTTTTCTTCAGAAAAGGTGGATAGATGAGATAGGATGGCAGGAAAATCTTAAATTCTTATTTAGAAACAATCATGATAATTATTAGGATAATTCCAGTAAAGAAATGTAAGCAGCTATTTTTTTTATTTTTTTTTAATTGAATAACCATAATTGGTCATTAAAATGAAATTATTTAAAAATGGAAAGATCTCCAACTTTCAAAGAATTATAGAAAATAACAATATTATTTTATGAGGTAGGTTTATCTTTTGTATTTATTCAAGTATAAACTCGAGTAATAAAAAAAAATAATGTCTTTGAACTATGAAAATTAACTAAGTACTCAAACTTTAAATAGTTATAACAGTACTTCATGTATAGATATTTAATATATACTATGCTACCAGATGTATCAAGAAAAACTATTATCATAACTAGATTCATCGACAAGAAAAATTACAATTAATAATAGACAATATTTACACTAACATTACAATAAATATTTTCCAAACACTTTCCTTTAGCCAAGCCTCAAATTTCTAATGCTTGTGCTTAATACTTAGAAATTCTTCATCATGATTTCTTTCTTTGGTACTGCATGTTTAGGCCATTCATAATTTAAGTTAATTTAAAACCTTTTTTTTGTTCCTTAATTTTAAGTACCTTCTAAATAATAAAGTGAACGTAATAAGACATCATTATCTAATGTTACAAATTGTATAAAAATATAATCGTTGCCAAAGGGATCAGTATGACGAAAGCATCACAGTCTCTAAGTTTTGACCCTAAAACATCCTATCGGGTGGGGGACGGAGACATGTCTCCCCACATGGGCTGCCTTACCCCTAGGAACGGTCGTCAGCTGCTCTTAAAGTAAAGCCCAACAACAGCTTCTTGCAGTGCCCTTAAACAACTAATTGTCGATTCAAAGCCTCCAGCCCGCTCATCAAGGCCTGGAGCACGGACATGTTCAAGATATGTACCGGAAAGAACCTCTTCGATATTCGGTGCTCTTGGTCCTTCGGTTTCAAATATCGGAGCAACATAAGTGTAAAGTGGAGCTTCTTCCTGACCATGGTGTAACAGGTACTCTCCACTTTTACCAAATTTAATTCCAGTAGAGAAGTGCGTGGCCTGAAACATTAACAAGCATTACAATACAAAATTGGTTACCGATAAAAAAAAAAAATTAACTAATCACTAAAAATCATATGAAATGAAATCAAAGTTACAAAAACTAAGTTTATTATGGCTAATACAAGGAAATACTTCTTTCATTACATAGATAGATAGATATAGATTTCCTAATCAAAACTGTAGCACATAAACTATTCCAAATTAAAACATTAAATCAAATACAGTTCTCTACTCTCCACCAATCACAAACTTCACCAATGAATAATTTATTTGTTTGTATTTTAAAGATTTAATTAGATAATTTTATAAAATAATATATCTAATATAAAATTGGTATAAGGTGATTCCCAATACAAACTTTTAATCAACGCGATGTTTGAATACAAAATTTTAAATATACCAACAAATAAAAAGAAGCGACTTATACAACTTTCAACAATAGCGACTCATATTATGTATGAAAATAGTTTTTAAAAACAAGTGACATGTAAAAACAAGGAAAATAATTTAGATTTTCAGCAAAAATCATAATATTAAAATTTTAAAAAACTAAAATTTAGGTAAAGAGATATTAATATAAATTATATAAGTAATTTTATCAAAAACAAAAATACCCCTGCACTATAACACTTAATCCAGATTAAGTTAAGTATGTTCACACAATTAAAAAAGGACTACAATTGGCTAATCTCCCATCAATGTTTCTATTACTATGGCTTTGTTAAGTATGAATTTATTTTATCAGTTGTGAATATATATATGTGAATATATATTATATTAAAAATATATCTCAATAAATGTGTAAAAACAAATAGATTCATCAAAGAACAATTTTATTAATTCCCATTTAATAGGACTCATTACGAAAAAGAAAACAAGAAAATTTACTTGATCCTAATTCTATGAAATTTTTACTCTATATAACATAAACTTTAAGATACCTCCTAAAATACTATTTTCCAACAATTAAAGCTTTGTTTTCACAGCCTAATTAAAATGAACAGTCTCATAACAACTCTTCTTATCACACATAGCAACACCTTTCTTCCTTTACCTGGTTAATCAAAGCAAAATTGTATTTTATTGGCTAATTTTTAATGAACTTACTTTTTCAACAATTTTTTCCTCTTCTTCATCTTCCATTGTTTGGAATGTTTTCACAATCTCTTTGGCATTTCCATGAGAAAACATAAGCTCATCAATTAATGCTTCCTTAGCTCTAATTTTTCGCTTTTTCACTTCTGTTTCTTCTCTCAACACACCAATCCTCCTCATTTGTTCCTTTTGTTTTTCTTCTTCAATAAGTTCTTCAAGTTCCAGTTCAGAACGGCCAATCTTCACTTTATTTTTCATAATTGATTCTTTGTTTTCCTTTTTATACTGTTCGATCCTCCTGTTGGTCTCAAATGTGTCAATGCCATTTACTAAATTATATATAATTTCTTCAACTTGTTCTAAATAGTCATTGTATTCTTCTAAGGTAGCAAAATCATCTTCTTTTTTGTTAAAATCTCGAAGAACCCTTTTACGTATATCAACTTCTTTCTCAACATTCGGATCTTCAAACAACTGAACTCGGAAATTGCTACGTCTAAGGGGCACATGGCACTCAGGACAGGAACCAGAACCTAAAATCAATATAATGATTGGGTAAGATAACTCAATAAAATATCTAAATAATAAATGAAAGAGAATTCTGTCGTGAAAGCCATGATTCTAGGAAGTTTAATAACAAATATTAGAAATTAAAACTTAGTAAGTTAATCAAGAAAGGTTTGAGGTTGTACTTCATTTCATTAGCACTTTGCTTTATGATCAACTCTTATGGATACTGTTAGAGGAACTAATAGCTGTTTATTTATGAAGAGTAATGGACCTACCACATTTTTTTACTTACTTTGAAAGGAGTTTTCATATAATTATTATTTTACAATTAAATATTAATAATAATAATAAAAGGCTTAGCGAACCCAGAGGTTCGATGCCGACACCACCAATCGCTTATTACACACCTCCCTCCACCGTTCGCCGTCCAAACCCAGTCCCTTCAGATTGGCTTTAACGCAACCTTCCCACCTTCGCTTTGGTCCACCTCTCGGACGTTTGCCATTCGGTACAGAAAATATCAACCTTTTAGGAATTCTTTCATTACTAAGCCCAACTATTTTACAAGCCCATTTGATTCTCCGAGATGAAATCACCTCAATTATATTAACTAAATACAGCTCACGCAACTCGGCGTTGTGCAACCTTCTGAATTCTCCTGTTAACTCATCTTTCTTCGGTCCGAATATTCTGCTCAATAATTTATTTTCAAAAACCTTATGACAATGCTTATCTCTTAATGTAAGTGGCCACATTTCGCACCCATAAAGAACTGTAGGTAGGATAATGGTTGTATAGATTCTAGTCTTTAAAAGCCGGGACAAGATGCAAGAGCTAAGTAGTTTTGTCACAGAAAAATAACAAGCATTATCCGCCTTCAGCCTAATCTTACTCTCCTCTTCAATTTCGTTATTTCTAGTTATCATAGACCGCAGATACTTAAACTTCTCTACCTGTTAAAACATGTTACCTTCTATATCAATATCACCAGTGATATCGCTATTTTTGCAGCTAACCATATATTTTGTCTGATCCGTGTTTATTTTGAGCCCTAGTTCTTCACTGGCTTTCATTAACGTTGACATGTTTAGTTTTATAGTTTCCGTGTCTTCGCTTAACAGGACCAGATAATCCTCATAGCCAAGCATGGGTGTTGTTCCACCTAGATCTAACCCTTTTTCGGTACACATCACCTCCCTAATGGCACGTTCTAATGCAAAATTGAACAGGACAAGCGAAAGAGAATCTCTCTGTTTTAAACCCGCACGACCTCTAACTTTTTGGATAAATTGTTCCCGATTTTAACTTTATTGAGTGTTTCTGTCAAGCACATCCTGACTAGATTTACTCATTTTTTTGGAATTCCCTGCTCAGTTAGAATAATATACAGTTTCTGACGGTCAAAAGAATCATAAGCCTCTTTGAAATCGATATATAGCTGGTGAACAACACCGTTGTACTCTAATTTTTTCTATATTTGCCGTATAGAAAATATTTGATCAATAGTCGAACGATTCCGTCTAAATCTGCATTGGTAGTCAGAGGTAGTAGTCGGCGTATTCTGTGATTCGACTTGTTAAGATTAAAGTGAATATTTTATAATATGCCGGAAGGAGTGAAATTCCTCAATAGTTATTACAATCCGTCCTCGGACCCTATTTGTGAATCGGAATAAGAATAGATTCTTTCCATTTCCAGGTAATTTCTCATCCACCCAGATCTTTTTAACCAACCGATGTATTTTAGAAACTCCAGCTTCCCCGCAAGCCTTAATTAGTTACAAGGAATATTATCGGTTCCGGCTGCTTTAAAGATTTTAATTTTCCGATAGCTACTTCCACTTCCTCTTTACTCGGTTCTTCAATTAACATTTCTGCACTCTGATACTCAGAAGGACACAGATCATTATTTCCCATATTTAAAAATACTGTCAAAGTCGCTCTTAAACTTATTTAATATGTCTACCGGATCGGTCAGAATATTGTTATAAAATATTAAGACCAAACATATGAAAATTTATATTATTACTGAGAAATGAATTAATAGGATTTCTTCAACAGGAAATACAGAGGAATGATCAAAATTAGCAAATTACATCATTATTTATATTTTTAACTTTAAATTCTTGAAATTAATAGGAATTAGGAAATGATACATAAATAAATTGATAAATAATCGATCATGTTATTGGTTCAGAATCAAAGTAATAAAACAATGTTATCAATATGAGTTAAGAATTTTCATAAGTTATTACCTTTCAAAAATAATAAATCAACGCAGTTTTCACATAATGAGTGTCCGCAGACATTGACCATAAGTTTCAACGATGGATTCCTGTATTTTGTTGTCCTACATCTCGGACACACTTGATCCTCCATTGGGAAGTTAAATAAATTCAAAAATTACAAAATAGGAGTACGTGAGAATGATCAAAATGCACTAATACATTACATATGACAGAATTGTTATGTTATAAGCATCACTCAATTGTAGGTGAAAATAGAAACATTAATAATAAATGTATTAAAAACATAAATATTTGGTTAGTAGCAGGTATTAAAGGGTATATCAAAGGAAGGTTATCGACATATGTTTTATTTCAGTTGAGCCCTAGATTAATACAAAAATAAAAATCAAGTTTAATCTTGACAAAAATATTATTAATAAAATATAAATTATTTAAAAGTATTATAACTTTTGAAGAAATATAATTTTAAATTTCGTTTTGGAATTATAAGATTAAATTTTTTCTTCAGTTATATATATTGTAGAGCAGTTACTGGAAATGTGACAACACAATCATTTGCCAAATTTAACTTTACATTAAGTTATAGTAACAGTGATGATAGTTAAAATATATTAAAACAAAAAAAAATAATTATTTTAAAAATAAAACCACTCATTGGGTCGAAGACATTAATAAGACCTTAATACCTGGTTAGGTAATGGATATTATTGATAGTTTGGTCTGTTGTATTTGAATCCGGATTTTTTATTACCTGTTTTATTCAAATCAGGGGTCTCCAAAATTTTTTCCCCGCGGGCCACATTGAGACATCCACACAAATGCGGACCATGGCTTGTAAAAATGGGGGGAAAAGTCTTGTTCTAAGAATATCATGTCGTTAGCGGGATCCGGCCTTATAGTGGAATAACTATTTATATATTTGTCTGTTCCTTAGTTCGTGTAAAGTCTTAACATACCATCAAAAATACAAATTAAAAGATTTCACACTTTCAAGGTGCGTTTAGACATTTCACAAACTATGGGAAACACAATTATCTAACTTAACTAATAACCAAATCATTATTGTTAAACCAAACTATTTATTTTATTTCTCTTGATACCGACAGTAGATGGAAAATCAATAGAGAAATAACCATTTATATGTTTGAGTACTCAATGGTTGACCGTAGTATAACATAGAGAAAAAAGTTGGCCCGCGATGGCGGTCTTAAAAAAATAAAAATAGTGAAAAACTATTTTCTTCTTCAACTTACTAATAATACTAATGAGCCTCGATTTGAGTTTTTTGTTATTCAAGAAACGGTAGATCTCTAGGCCAGTTTATTTTCAAACTGCGTCGACCGGATGACCAGGAGAAAAGTGATAAGACGAGTAGTTGAGATGGACATGAGAGTAAAATTTATATATTTAAGTTACTATTTCAGGAGGGTCCTGTTGAGGAAATGGAAGATTCATTGGAGAAAACAATAATGATCAAGAAAATAGTAAAAAATTTTAATAAAAATATTTATAATTATTCCGCGGCATATTTAAATATTTTTTGTTTTGTTTTAAACTTAAATTAATACTGTTTCAAGTTAATTTTTCAACTCCCTATGTTGAATCCGAATTCTTATATTTCCTTCACAAGGTTATTTTTCCTGGAAGTATGTAAGAAGCATGTTTAAATACTGTTCTCTCAGAAGTTCCAATTTATGTTTTTGCTTTGCGATGTATGTGGATGGTTTAGTCTTAATTAAAGTTCAAATTTCTATTTCCCTCATGTCACCTAAGGTATGATAATTGATTTTGATTACTGGTGGAGGTAGACCTTTAAATAAAGAAATGGGCCTTGAAATGAAGAAATTCTTTTTGTGAGTGATTGATTTCCTCCTCGGGCGGATCTACGAGGGGTGGGAGCTATCAGGCTTCCCCCTCAAAACAGTAAAATATAACCATGTTTTATGAAAGAAATCATTTCTAAAAGTATTATTATTCGTCTAATTACAGTTAATAGGACTTTAAGAATCACTTAAAGACCATGTCACATAGATAGTTGGTTTCTTTCTTTTTTCCGAAGTAATTATTCTAATATATTTATATAAAAAAAAAAAATCTTTTGGGCTGAAGTTCCCAAAATTAAATCCTGGATCCGTTAGTGATTTTCTGAATGATTAGTTATCTCCTCATTGATGATCCATTTGTAACTAAAATAACTTATAGATTAAATTTTGAATGTTTTTTTCTGAAAAAAAAAACCGAACCTCGCCCAAAATTACATCCTGGATCCAACAATGTTAGGATCTACAACATATGTTCAGTTCAAGAAATAATCATTCTACAACAGTAGCGGATCTAGGATTTAATTTTTGTGGCTTCAATCCGAAACCTTTTATTTATTTATAAAACATTAATTACTTTTGAAGAAAAAGAAAGAAACTAATTACCTATATGAAATAATGTTTAAGGGGTTCTTTAAATAAAAACAATGTAATGACAGGAGCAATCACTAGTGGATCCAGGATTTAATTTGTGGGGGGGGGAGACTTCAGCCCGAAAGTTTTTTTTTCATAAAAATAACGATAATTACTCAGGAAAAAAAAGAAATAAACTAACTGCCTACATAAAATGGTGTTTAAGTGATTCCTGAAGTCCTTTTAAATGTGATTACATGAAATATTTTTTAAATATTTTTTTCCATAAAACAGGACTACATTTTACCATTTAGGGGGGACTTCAGCCCGAGAGCCCTAGCGTAGATCCGCCAGTGGTAACAATAATACTATTACAGATTTTTTCGTAAAACATGGTTAAATTTAGTAGCTGTATATGCATTATAATTTAAAAAATAGAACATATTGTGATTGTTTAAGTATTTAACTTAGATCACTCACAGTATTAAATATGGGCCAGTGAAAAAACAATAATCATTTTCCCTTTTGGGATCTTTTGCCTCCAAGCCCTCCCTCCCTCGTAAGAAGGGGTAGGTAGTAACGATTACAATAGTAGCAGTTGCAATCAAAGTCACTACATTTTATTTATAGTGAAAGTATGCGGTTATATCCTACCTACCTTACTGTTATAAGTCATAGGTTATAAGACACGTGTAAATATCCAGTAGTATAAGTTTCTCTAGATAAACGTAAGAGGGAATAAAGAGTTGTGAATAGTTGTTATCAGTTTAGATAAGAAATCTCTCTGCTTTATACATCGCGCCATGCAGGATTCGCTAACGAAGTTGACTTCTTTAGGTCTTAGTGAGCAAAAGGCTAAGGAAACCATCAAAAATGAATCTTTGACAATTAATCTTCTAGCTGCTATCCAAGAGGCCAAAAAATTCGGAGGTGTGCCTTCCGAAAAATGTTCACTATTATACCATACTGTTTCCAAACTAAAGCCACAAATATCCAATCATTTACCACTAATTGTTCAATACATTGTTGAAAATAAAATTGATTCCATTGTAAGAGCTGATGCGGCTTTAGATTTTTTTCTTTCCAATGCTCACAAAGAATTAGATATTAAAAAATTTGAAGCAGAGTGTGGCATTGGGATTAATGTGACACCTGAAGATATTGAGCTTGCTGTGGAAAATGCTATTAATAAAAGCAAAAATGAAATTTTGGAGAAGAGGTATCGATTCAATTCTGGCATTTTGTTGCAGGAGGTAAGAAATACATTGAAATGGGCTGATTTCAGAGATGTTAAAAATGAAATAGATGTTCAATTGCTTGACTTGCTTGGTCCCAAAACTGAGGCAGATTTAGTTCCTCCAGACAGTAAAACTAAAAAGAAGGGAAAAGAAAAAAATGAACCGAAGAAGACGAAAACCCAAGATAGCCCACCACCACCAAAGACTGAGGCGATCACTATTAATGATATGATTAGTAAACTTCAACTTCATAAGCCAGGTGAAAACTTTACAACAGATGGTTATGTCGTTACGCCTAACACAGAAAAAATTATAGCTGAACACTTAAAAATTACTGGTGGTAAAGTTAGAACAAGATTTCCTCCAGAACCTAATGGTATTCTCCATATAGGCCATGCTAAAGCAATAAACATTAATTTTGGCTATGCTGCTTACCACGGGGGTATTTGTTTTTTGCGCTTTGATGATACAAACCCAGAAAAGGAAGAAGAAAAATTCTTTAAAGGAATCAAGGATATGGTTGATTGGCTTGGTTATAAACCTTTCAAAATAACATATTCATCAGATTATTTTGATAAACTTTATGAATGGGCTTTAGAATTAATTAAACTAGGTCATGCATATGTTTGTCATCAAAAGCAAGAAGAAATAAAAGGTTTTAATCCTCCTCCTTCTCCTTGGAGGGATAGGCCCATTGAGGAAAGTTTACTATTGTTTGAAGATATGAAGAATGGCAAAATGGAAGAAGGAGAATGTACGTTAAGGATGAAAATCACTCTTGAAGAAGGTAAACAAGATCCTGTTGCTTACAGAATCAAGTATCAGCATCATGTAAGAACTGGAAATAAATGGTGTATATATCCAACTTATGATTACACTCATTGTCTTTGTGATTCTCTTGAACACATTACTCATTCTTTATGCACCAAAGAATTTCAATCAAGGCGTTCAGCCTATTACTGGCTCTGTAACACTCTTGACATCTATTGTCCAGTTCAGTGGGAATATGGGCGTCTCAACATGAACTATACTGTTGTTTCGAAGAGGAAAATTGCTAAACTAATAGAAGAAAATATAGTAAATGATTGGGATGATCCTAGACTATTTACTCTTTCTGCTTTAAGAAGGCGTGGATTTCCTCCACAGGCAGTAAATAATTTTTGTGCCCGAATGGGTGTTACTGGGGCTCAAACAGTTGTTGACCCAGTTATGCTCGAAGCTTGTGTCAGAGATGTACTAAATACTACAGCCGCGAGAACCATGGTTGTGATTGAGCCATTATTGATAGAAATAACTGAAGGTATCAAAGATGATCAATTGGTTGTACCTGATTTCCCAGCAGAACCTGATAAAGGTAGTCACCAAATCAAGCTATGTAATCAAATATACATTGAAAGGTCTGATTTCAGGGAGACCTCTGAACCTGGTTACAAAAGACTCTCACTACAGCAGCGTGTTGGTCTTCGTTACACACCTTACGTAATCAAAGTAGTAGAGGTTGTCTATGACAATTCTAAAGCCATTAAAAAACTAATTGCCCATGCTGAAGTAACATCCAATGAAAATAAGCCCAAAGCCTTCATCCATTGGGTGTCAGATCCTTCAGAAATCACAGTCCGCCTGTATGATAACTTATTTACACATAAGAATCCTGAAGATCCAGAAGAAGTACCTGGTGGATTTCTATCAGATGTTACTAAAAATTCTCTGGTTGAACAGAAGGCATATTGTGATGGTTATCTGATAAAATTGGCTAAACCGTTTACTCAATATCAATTTGAAAGAATAGGATATTTCAGTGTCGATCCTGATTCCCAAGGATCAAATGTTGTATTTAATAGAACTGTGTCTCTAAAAGAAGATTCAGGGAAAAATTAATTGTTGGTAGAATTTCGCAAAAAACAATCCTGTGATATAAAAACAAATAAATTCATTCTTTAAAATTCATTTATGCCCTAGAAACAGGATACAAACTTGTCATGAAAGAAAATCAATTAATTTACTTTCAAAGTTATGTTTACATGAATTTTTAAAACTGATTTTCTTAATACTCAGTGTCCAATCATGGAAAGGGCTGAGAAATGTCATAAAGTATGACAGTATTGTATTATTAATTTTTGTTTAAATTATTAAAGTTAATGTGACTCACAGCATGGACTTGTGGTTCAATCAAGTGATGTAGTTAAAACACTTCACCTGTTCGCAATGTTAGAGATCAGTGTCTTACCAAGTAAAGTGACTGTCCAACAAGCATACATCATATTGCCCTAATCTATTTTACTAATTATTGTAATGGATTTCTCGATTTTCTCCATAAGGGCATTTATTTAATTATTTAATGTAATGATGATCATTAATACTAATAAGAAATAATATTTTTTTAAATATGTAATTTATTTATTTAAATAAAATATAATTTAAATAAAAATGTAAATTATTTAATTTACACATAATATTAAATAAAAAAACAACTTTGAGTATTTTGTATCACAGACTTTTAATGTTTTCAACAACTTCATATATACTTGCACAATCCATAAATAAAATTACAAATTGTAGGATTAATACAAAGGAAAAATAATATAACATCAAACAGTTCTATTGAATCATTCAACATGATCAACAATTTTATAATTTTAAATAATATTTAAATAAAGGTAATTCATGAAGGGGCTACTTTAAAATATTTTTCAGATATTAGATCAATATAAAACACTCAGATAATTTTTTAAAAAACATTCAAATACATCTGAAAATCTAGATATTTTAGGTGTTAAACATAAAGTATTATTAGATTTTTCTCCTTTGTTTAAGTTATACTAAAATATAAATTAACTTTCCTCCTATTACTGACACTATATATAATCATCTATGAGATAATTTTCTTTCTTCTTAGCTGCCTTGTTCAATTCCTCAAATTCATAGAGCTGAACAACTTCTGGTGGTATAAATGCACCTGCCACCCACCTCCTCTCACTGTTCAAATAATTAAAAGTTGCTATGGCTTTTTCGATAGGGATTACTTCAACATTAATTCTCTGCCTTGACTTAAATGCCATGATTTCTTCATGTAATGACCTACTATTAGTTGACTTCTTTCCGAATCCAATGATTAATAAATCTTTAAAAAAAAAAAAGTAAAAATTAGTTTCAATACAGATTCATAGGTACAAAATAGGTGCTGAACAAGTTTCTGTCCTAAACAGAAATAATTCATTAGTTATTTTATATTAATGTTATTTATTAATAAGCATTATAAAACTTTGTTACAACTATTTTTTTTAATTTGTGTTTATGAAATTATGGATTTGAAATACAGGCTAATTTTTAATTTATTTCAAACATTATCAAATGCCTAAGGCGGATCTTATTATTGTGTGGAAGAGCATCCCATGGGTGGTGGAAATTCCTCTCAGATAAGTTTGATAGACTTATAGAAGCTTGCTGGAGGGAGTGACATAAAATTGAACGTCCAACTCTCATATCTTTAATTCACAAAATAAAAGACATGGAACTGCCCAAGATTACTCTCATTGTACGGAATTAAATTAGTCTCCCCTTAGGTCTCTGGACAGAGACTGATTTAAGAGATTTGTTATGAAAATTGAAAACAAGATTAACTTATAAGGGATGAGGAATTTCTTAAGGTTTTTGAAGTAGTGCGTGAACTGTACCTGGTTAGTTAATAAAATTGAGGTATATTGTGGTGAGTAAAATTGTTGGGGTTGCAAGGTGAGGCTATGGACATGGAGTCACTGATTTAAATGAAACTTTTCTTTTATGATACTATGAGGAAAAAGAGACCCATTTCCGAGAGTTCTTGCCAATGTGCCGTAAGATCCGAGAAAAAAAAAATATATTATTTTTTATATTACTGTTTTCTGCCTTTGTTCTGCAAGGATTTCTAAGTTATTAAACATCAATTGATTTATTTTTTTGTGTAATGAAAAAAACTTGATGCTAATTGTATTAAATAAATTCTAATGCATAATAAATTACAAAAACAAAAGACGCTTGCTGTAAAGAATACACACCAAGTAAATTTTTGAAATGAAAAACTATTCAGATATGTTTTAAGCATCCATTGAACTCTTAATTATGAGTTGTTTTTTTAAACTACAAAATATAAATTGTAGGACTTCATTTTATTATAAGGATTTTTTTCAACCCCTCAGAATTTTCTCTTTATTCAATGTTATTACAACCATTGTAAAGCTAAATTATTATCCTACAAAACCATATCAATAAGTTTTTTATTTTATGCCTTTATAAGGTGTAAAAAAACTCCACAAATGTTTTTATTGGTTATCTCTGAGACTAATAATTGGCGGTATCTGGTTTGTGCCATTTTTATATAATTCTTGAATAAGAATTTTGCTTGCAATCGAAAAATATAAATTTTTTGCTCAATATACTACCTTCTATTAATAGCTCTTATGAGATCCAACTATGTTTATAACTTTATGATAGATATTACAACTGTTCAATATTTTTTTATTTCAACGAGCTTTCTTAATAAAAAGAATAAATTATTTACCCAATTTAGGTTCAATCAGATTAAATACAGCAAGTGAGTTTCTATTAATATCATGGTCTCCAGAAACATTCCAACTCAAGGCTGTATAAGGAAAAAGTATCACTGGACCAAGAACAAATAAGCCATTGTTCAAACGGAAGCCTTCCTAAAATCAAAATAATGATTATAAAAATTAATTTATAAAAAAAAAGAATTAACAACAAAATACTCTCTTATTGAAACATTTATTATTATTATTATTATTAGTTCATAGAATCCCTTAGGTAAGACATAGGGACGTCAGGATGGTCTGCCAGGCATCTCAATATCTTTACCTAGCTCGACTCTTGACCAGGTCTATCCGAAGTTGCACATTTCCTTTTTTTGAGTCATTAGAGCTTGTTTGAGGCTACCATACTCGCAATATATTCTGCAGACATCTATTGACGAAAGTCTGTAGCTTTTTGGTCACCTGCTTAGTAACTTTCCAAGTATCACCACCATTTAGCAGAATTGACAACATTTGTTTTGAAGATTCAAAGCTTATTCCCCCCTCCTGATTTTTAGGGATTTCAACATTGGCCAAACCGAAGCTGGAAGAATACTTTTTGATCTTTCCTTACACGAATCCCAGCATCTTCATCAGCCCCTCAATCTGGCTCACAATACTCCCTTGGTAGAAGAATTTAGTAACCCTTTCAATTATTTCATTTTCTATAACAAGATTTTCCTGACTCTTACTATTCACTCACATCTCTTTCGTTTAAATATTATTTTGAGTTTGGTACTTTGATTTTCCTCCTGGAGTTCTGTAATGATTGTGTATAGACAAAAAAAAAAGGTTGAATAAGTTCCCAAATAAAACAATCTATATATTTTCAACAATGTACAATATCACGTGTTTTTACATTAATATCTAACAATAATAATAATCCATACTACATTATTCCCCCCTTCTTTCTGATCGCTTCCTTATGTGATCAGCATGGCATCGCATTAGCTTCCCGCTCGTTTCTATGTCATAAGAGAGAGGCCCTTTTTTTCTGCCTGTTCACCATCATCGCCACATGTAATGATTGTGTATATACAAAAAGAAAGGTTGAGTAAGATCCCAAATAAAACAATTATATATTTTCAACAATGTCCAACATCACGTGTTTTTACATTAATATCTAACATTAATGATAATTCATACTACAAGTTCATTTAGCTTCTCCTGCATATCTCTGAAACTTTGGACAAAATAACATAAGTCATCTGCAAAGTTCAGATCTTTGTGTCTTTCCGTGAGCCTTCATTGAAGTCCTCGTTCTCTATGAAGAATTCATCTTAAAATGATAACGAGTACCATCAGGAATAAGATAGGGGAGAGGACACATCCCTGTCTAACACCAGTCCAAACATTAAAGGGCTCCAACACTGCCACAATGAATAACTTGACAGGAGTAACCCTCATATAGTTTCCTAACAATATTGATGATTTTCTTCGGCATTCCAAATTTCTTTATGGCTTCCCACATTTTCTTTCGTCAAAAGCCTTTTCGAAATCTATAAAGGAAAGACTTAAGAGTTTCTCGAACTCCTAAAATTGTTCTACTATAATCCTGAGGGTTTTAATATGGACGATGCACGATCTTCTTTGTATGAATCCACTCTGTTCCTTTTTTAATTTAGCATTAACAGCCTCCCGAATCCTGGCCAGAATAATGCGACACAATATCTTGCTCAGAGCCGATGTCAGTGTTATTCCTCTCCAGTTAGAACATTCCGCAAGGTTACTTTTCTTGGGAAGTTTAACGAGTAATCTCATCTTATTGAACTCACTTAAACACTGAGTAAAAGAAAGAAGTTACAATTAAAACTTAGTAATGCGTAATTTATTTGGAAAATAAATCACAATATTATGCTAAGTCAGAAACTGGACCAAGATCAAATTTAGCTGTGGAAAACATATTTATTTCCTGTTCAAAAAGCATTTAATAGTTTCTGAGTTTGGGAGACCCTCCTGGGATACATTTAACATCTAAACTATTGATACCAGACCCTTCAATAGGTTGTGGAGGGAAACCTGGGGCGGGGTTTGTGGATGCTGATCACAACTTGCTGGTAAATTTTTGGTTATGAAAGAGGACTTCCTTATCACATAAAAAATCTAAGACCCTTCATGGATTATAGCCACACTGTTAGTAATTTTTCATTATGATCTCTCATTTCATTTCATTTTGCTAATTAGATGAAATTTAACTAGGAAAAAATAATATAAAATATGACGATGTGACGTATTTTCTATCATTTTTTTTCACTGCTGTCATATTATGTCGCATAATGCACCATACTATTCTGTAGAGTTGTTAAAATTACGGGATATATATTTGTAAACTTCAAGATCATTATAGCATTCAATAGCAAGCAAAGTTCTGATCAGGAACATTGAGACGCAGTTGAGAGTTGACTAACCTCTTGATCAGGCAGAAGTGGACATATATGACCTACATAAGGCTATGACATAGTTATAAATATATCTATCTAAAAGAGTCAGTAACATTAAGCTTTAGATTTATTTTGATATAAGCTGAGAAATCAAAATCATAAACTAATAAGCTAATTTAAATAATCGCACTGTAATTATAATCATAAACATTATGATTTATACCTTACTGTATGAATCAACCATTACACCATATCCTGCTTCCTTATTCAAGACTGTGACAGTAGTTTTTCCATCACTTTCATAGGCACTTTTTCGAAAGGCAGATAGGAAAAATTGTCGAGAAAATCTAAAACAAGCCATATATTGCATCATTTAAATTAAAATTAAATTAATGCTGATGAAATGGGTAAAACAATAAGTAATCCTGTCTCAAAGACGGACTTAATAAGTTGAAGATGCTATTCTATTTTAACATTTCCTATTTAAAAAACAAATCAATTATAAGTAAATTATTTTTTTAAGTTTCACCTAAAATTGTGTATAATCCTTGGAAGGAGCATGTCGGCAAAGTTTATCAGATAGTAGGTTATATTTATATTAGTATCAACATAGAGCTATTATCAGCAATATAATAGTATTTGAGATCTTTCAACTTGTTTGGAAGCGTTTTGTGAAACATGATACATCCATAGTTTGTTAGCATAATATTTATATAGATATTAAACAAACTACAATTTTGTCTAAGTTTGCTCATTACATTATAATTTACCAGGTAAACTATAGCAGTGCCTGCCTTAGACATCCGGCGCCTTCCCCCCCGGCAAATGACGTCATCACTCTCACTCCACTGTCCCTAAAAAAAATTAATTTGGTTTTTTAATCTGTTTTATTTTAAGTAATATTTCCATTAAACATTTCTCTAATACAATTGCTTTATTGGTAGACTAAAATTAATTATTGTATACGTTTTGTAACTTTTTTTATTTCTTACAAGTGGCAAACGCTCCTGAAGATTGGCTGGTGCAGAGTGGGACGAGTAAGGTAAAAATCAATTTCTTACTTTCACTTACCCTATATGTAATTCATAGTAACGGGAATAAACGTTTTGAGGTCCCCTGAGTCGAAATAACCAAGTCCCACAAAATGATCTGTGTGTGTGTATTTTAACAGTCTAGCTCAAAAATAAAAAGTCGTAAGAGACTGATATTACGTATTTAAGGTTTGTACGAGTATATGGTTCAGATGTGACAGCAACCTTCTCCTTAAAATTGGCTAACCGAAAGAGCCACTTTATATCAACGGTGAAACACATTTTTACAATGTTCTCAAAAACGGCCCTAACGAATGATTAAACTCGGTGTATCATTGTATAATTAAGTGGTCTTTATTACCATTGCGGTCTTATCCCCGTTGATCGCTTTCCAGGGCTTAAATGTTCAACATACCTTCCTCTAAAGTAACTTTAATTTTGTTTATTTCAAATAATTAACTATCACTCATTATTAAGAGTTATGAAAAAAGGCTCAATATATGAAAGAATTTGATAATTGAATAAAGAATAAAAAAAAGAAAAATGCTTATCCAGGTCGAAAGTGAATATCCGGAAATTTTAGTCAAAAGGTATACGTATAATATATCATTGGAAAGCGGAGAATTAAAAAAAGAACAATATTTAATATACAAAGACGTAGAAAGTAATGGAGTATGACGAAAAATTATAAATAATAATTTTTGAAAACATGTATTATTTAACGGAAATCACGTTTCCAAAGAAATTTACTAATTAAATGTAAATTATTAAAATATCTTATAAACATGAAAAAAAAAGTATTTAAAATCCACCTAATCAAGGCAACGCCATTGTTTAAAAAACTGTCTCATTGTACTTGTGTGAAAGAAGAAGTGCAATATAAAAACATTTCATGGATATGTTTATAATTTTAAATATATCTATTGTAGTTCAATAGCTCTAGATCTGATACTATATTTAAATAATTAGATATCGATCGTCCGTTTATTTTGAAAAATCACCATGCAACCTTTCAGAAAATTAAATAAGTGAATAATTCCATTAATTTTCCCTTTGTGATATTCCAATAGTATCCACTTACAATTAGTGTAAAATTATCTAATTTTAATGTTAACAAACTTTGAGTGTTACTTTTTTCCTATCAAATACAATAATTATTTTTTTACAAATTTACTTGTTTTACCATCTTTATTCAATCCTTACAATACATACATAATTCATAAATAGTAGCGGAGCCAGTATTTGATTTTGGGAGGGCTTTAGCCCGAAAGCTTTTTTTTCACACATACTCACACACACATGTATAACGAAAATTAATTTAAAAAAAAAATTAATTACCTATATGAAATGGTGTTTCTTGAAGTGGTTCTTGAAGTCCTATTAAATGTAATTACACGAACAAGAATACATTAAGAGATAGTTTTTAATTTTTTTTCTGAATAATATGGTTATTAGATTTTGGGGAGAGGGGGAGGGAAGGACTTCAGCCTGAAAGCCTCCCTCCGTAGATCCACCTGTAATTCATAATCACTTGCTTGAAACGTTAAATATATTTACTGCAAATCTTAAGCGCATGTAAATGAACTTCAATGGTGTTTATTTTTTTAGACGTTTTAAAAATATATTTTCTAGACTCTCAGCTAGATTGTAACTCTTTGCTTCTGTTCCTGAACGATTAGTTTAGATAACAGTTAGTTCTGTTACACGTCGTCGGCTTTATTTGGGAAAATTTGTGATTTTTCATAAAACAAAATGATTACTACAGTTTTGGGGAAGTTTTTTCGAGAATATTCCCAAAATACTTCTAAGAGACTTAAAATCATAGACTGCTATCTGTTATATGTATTTTTAACTGGCATTGTTCAGTTTATTTACTGTTGTTTAGTTGGAACTTTTCCCTTTAATTCATTTCTTAGTGGTTTTATCTCAGCCGTCAGTTCTTTTATTTTAGCAGGTACCAATTATTCCTTTCAACTAATATGTAGGTATTAATAATTACAAATTTTAATGCATATTTTGATTACAGTTTGTCTTCGATTGCAAGTAAATCCTCAAAATAAACTACAGTTTGCTAAAATAAGTCCAGAGAGGGGATTTGCTGATTTCATTGTTGCACATGTTATCCTTCACCTAGTTGTCATCAATTTCATTGGTTAAAAGGTAATATTTTCATATAGATGTTAATGTATCATTACCACTCAATTGGTTCAGAATTCTAATTTTGTTGCCATTGTTTATTTTTTATTTATCTAAGAGTCTTTGTTTTAATATTATTAATAACAAAGACTTCTTGCTGCTAAGAGTGTTCTACATATATTCTGTTTTTGATTATATGAGTATTGAATCGATAGTGAAAGTTTAGTTGTCAAACTTTTTTACCGAGCTGTACCACATCAATTCAGTTTTTTTGAGTGAAGAAATACATAGACAGTATTTTTATAACACATACTGTCGTTTCAGCAAGTCTTTGGATAGTCATTTAAACCTATCTGATTAGTACTTATAATGTAAGGAAATATGGACGGCTGATGTGTCTATTAGTAATCTCAAAATTTTATTTCGATTGATTAGTATTGTAGCAATTAATTTATCAATGTTTCATTAAGTATTGTTATTTGATAAGAAATTGTTCTAAGTCCAAGTGTTGTAATTGATAAATATGTTAAGAAGAAAAATATTTGTTTTAAAATATTTTTATTGGTTAGTAAACTTTCATAATTTCTAGAACATCTTTTATTTTCAGATTTACTCGTAATTCTGGCATCAGGCAGCTATTCAATTTGATGTTCTGCATCGTACAAAGCAACAATATTGTATTTTTTACAAAAATGCACTGGAATTCTAAATTGCTCCAGATCATGTCTATATACATTTTTTTATTAATATAAATATAATTTTTGATTAAGTAAATATAATATATAAAATGATAATTTTTTTATTCTTTATTTTCCTATTTATATAATTAATTATATATTTATGTCGGTTAGTACTCCATAACATCAGTTCTTGACTTTGAGATTTCTTTATCACATAAACTGGTAGGCATTGATATGACAGTTTAAATATAACTATGATCGAGCAATAAAACATTATTAGATATTGGTCACTTTTAAAGTAATCTGGTAGATCACAGGTATGTATTTGCATTTAAAAAAATAAGTAATCGAAGTAGGTCTCAAAATTGATCACTCATACCTTACCTTAAGGCATAACTAATAAAATGCTATTCTAGTTTATAGTATTTATTTGACCGCATCCCCGCCCAACTCCTCCTACCTTATCATAGCGACACATCAAAAAGTTTTGAATAGCTGAAAAAAAATTGATAAGGGAGTTTTATATTTCAGATCAGAAACTGTTATACCAGCCAAAAACCAAATTTGAAGACTACTATTATTGTGGAAATATATTTCTCTGTCAAATATCTACTTACTAACCAGTAATTTATAGGTTTTATTATATTATTTTTGATGGGTAGTACTAAATCTGAACTTGAAAATAGGGGTGTTAAGCAATATGCTGAGTTCAGTGAAGGGATGTCTGTATGCAATGATTTCTGGTGGTATCAATATCGGATCAAAAGAGATTAATTATTATTTTTAAATGGTAAATTATTACAACTACTTTTTTAAAAGCTCCGAATTTTAATGAAAATTAGTTGAAGTTTATTAATACACCCTTAGTATTTTACCAAATCCAATTATCGAGCCAATAATTGAAAATTATCTTTTCCACCAGTAACAAAAAATAAATAAATACATCCCTCTCAAAAAGTTATGAAAAAAATAAAATTTAATATGGTAATAAAAAAATCTGCTGCATGCAACACACAATTTTCACTTACCTCTCTACTTTGAATAGAAATTATTCTGGCAATGTTGAGAAATTATAAAAATTTTGAAGTGCACTTTTAACTGTGCTATAGCTTAAAGCAAAAAAATGATTAAGACCACTAAAATAACAAAAATCCTAGCGCCTTATTATTTATATCAATAGTAGACAATAAAAACCAATTCGTAAAAATTTGTAAACCACATAACTCCAGTCTCTGAGCTATATATCTATCTATATATTGATTATATACATATATATGTCTGGAGATATTTGAAAGTATATCTCTATATTCAACCTATAAATTATTACAGATTGTAAGTTATTAAACTGTTATTTTCTATTATAAACTTTACTAAAATGAAATTACGAGATTTTCATTGCCTACCATGGATAGGTGAAATGATTTTACACTAATTTTAAGGAGATAATGTATGGATTTCACAAATTCACTAATTTAATTTTTTAAAAGATTACATGACAATTTTTCGGAATAAACGGACTTTGATACCTAATTATTTAAATAAAATATCAGACCTAGAGTTATTAAACTACAGTAAATGTATTTAAGATTATAAATATATGCTTGATACATCCATGAAATATTTTTATATTTCACTTCTTCTTTCACATAAGTACTATGAAATAGTTTTTTTAACAATGTCATTGCCTTGATTAGTTCAATTTTAAATACTTTTTTTCAAACTTAAAAAAAGTTTACATTTAGTTGGTAAATTTAATTTAATTTCCTTGAAAACATGTGATTTCCGTTAAATTATATTAGTTTTCAGAAATTATTATTTATAATTTTTCGTTACTCCCCATTACTTTCTACATCAGATATTGTTTTTTCTAAAATTCTCCGCTGTCCAACAATATATTATAAATATACCTTCTGAGTAGTATATCCAAAAATTAATTTTCGACCTAAATAAACATTTTCTCTTTTTTCTCTATTTTTCAATTATCAAATTATTTCAAAAGTTATATTTAGCATTTTTTTGTAACTCTTAATAATGAGAGATGGTATATTATTTAAAATAAACCAAATTAAAGGTACTTTAGAGGAAGACATGTTGAACATTTAAGCATTTAAATCCTGTAAAGTTACATCAATGGGGTGAAGACATCAATGATATTAAAGACCACTTAATTATACAATAAAACACCGAGTTTAATCAAAATCATTGGAGCTGTTTTTGAGAAAATTGTAAAAATGTGTTTAACCATTGGTATAAAGTGCCACTTTCAGTTAGTTGATTTTAACTAAAAAGTTGCTGTCACATCTAAGGCATATATCTACCTTAAATACATAATATCAGTTTCGTACGACTTTTCGTTTCTGAGCTAGACTTATCGCATACATACACACACACAGACAGACCATTTTGTGGAACTTGGTTATTTATACTCAGGGGACCTCAAAACGTGTATTTTCATTAAAAATTCAGAAGCAAAAATTTTCACGATCGCAATATTTTCCCTTACTATATATTATATATATATAGGTAAATGAAAGTAAAAAAGTATGCAATTAATGCTTAGTCATAATTTGGGAAACTTCTAAATTAACTACACAATAAAATTATATAAATTATAAACTTTCTTATACACAAGTAATATAATGAAATAGTTAATAAAAATGTTTATCAATAAAAAATAAGTATATTTATTACATAAAATCTATTTACAGCAAGACTTAATTTTTTTTTTTTAAGTCAGAAATTAGGCTCAGTAGGTTCTATGGTATAACTTTGTGTTTGTGTCCTAAGCCAAGAACTCCATTCGCTGTCAACTTTTCGGCTTAAAGTTACTTCTTGGAATACTTCACTTTCATTCTCCTTAAAAAGAAAGAAGTTTTTTATAATCATGGAATATAGTTTGCAGACGTTCTACAAACATGCAGATTATTTTTCTATATAACTGAGATGAGAACCGTCTTATGATGTATGTAAATAAAGTATCATTCACATGTGAAGTTACTTACTTTAACAAAATTAAACTTTCCAAAAAGATTAATGCTTGTTTTATTGTCAGACGAAATTACTGCAAGGTATTTATTTACACCAATATTCTCAACACCTGTAATTGATAAAAAGTTTAATTCTGTAAAAATGGAATATTAATTAATGGTAATAGGTAAAACAGTACAGATCTAAACTATACGCAATTAAGTTTTCCTTAATATTGCTTGAATCTCAATAAATAGAAAAAATCAGATTTTATCTGATTTTTCTGATTATATCTGATAAATATCGCATCAATTTGTAGTTCACTTTTTTAGATTTGATAGATCACTACAACCCATGAAGGGTCATGGGTTTACTAATCTGTAAGGAAATACTGTTTCAAAGCAAACGGTTGTGCAGGGAGGTGATAGGGCCTTACACATACAAATAATTAACTTTAATTGAAACACCAATTTATCTAAAAGACAAATTTTTAGTAAGAGTTGGACGGCATAAGGACCAACTTTTCCCCCATTTAATGGATTTCTTTACAGCAAGAGCTTATATTTTAGTCAAATTTAAACTAACAACAATATCCACAATGTCAATCAAACATATAATCCTCTATTTGAAGTTTGGAGGATTTTTTAAAAATATTCTTTGAAAAGTAAAGCAAAGGATTTCCTGAGATCCAGTTTGAAGGAAAAAGTAAGTTTAAAAACAATTCTTAAACTATCGGAGACAATAATCCGTCAATGTTAAATGACAGCAATATAGAGTATAGTAATGTTCTCAACAATTTCTATACTTTAAGAAAACCATAATATCCGTAAGGACCAATAACACATGTTGTCAGGACAGTATATAAAACTTAGTAAATTAATCTTACAAAAAATTAATAAAAACAAAATTTAATACTTAAGACAAACAGGCTGCAACAAATATCAATTTAATGTGCTTAATATAAATATAAATTGTCAATTTTATTTTAGAAAGAACTAGTAGGCGAGTGTGAAAAATTCGCAAAGCTTATTATTAAGTGATTAAATGCCAAATTAATAAGAAAATAATGCAATGTATCAGAAGATAAAGAAAGCAATGGTTACTTTCTCGATAAATATAATCCAAAAGGAAACAAAAATTAATTTAAAACTGCATTAATGCTTGGAACCAACATGTTTACAAATTTCAATAAGCTATACCATTGCTAAAAATTGTGCGATTTCAATGATGTGTAATTTTTGAGTTATTCGCAGTTTTTTTTTTTTTCATAACTTTTTGCCTGAATTTTCGGCAAAGTTTTTGGACTATTTTGTCTGCCTCAAGGAGAAGGAAGCCTTCAAAATTGGTAGCTCAATCTTGGGATTTGGTGAAGAATTATCATGATGTGCAATGACAGTACTACAATTAACATAAGGTTGTGTGGATGCGAACCCTTTGCTTTGTGTTATCTCGAAAATAGTATGTTTTAGGGCTAAAGAACGCAGGGCCTACTGCATTCTTAAGCCCTCTGCTGTACGCATCAAAATCTTCAAAGCCCAATCTGTCCTGTATCAATCTACAGACTTAGCACCATTCCAGTATTGAAGCCTAGCAAAATGTTTTTATTGACTTCATTTATTTTAGAAAGAAAAACAAAAGCAGAGAGTAGGATTCGCTAACTCCTCCTCCCTCCCCGTGATATTCTGATTTTGGTATTTCCCATTCATTCATTCATGGTATTTGAACATGATAGGAGCTTATATTTGATAAAAAACCGATCTCGAGCCTTACTGTAAAATAATATATGTGGGGATGAGCAATGATGCTCATACTGTCAATTATCAATCAATCAATTAAAACTAGACTTTAAAGCATTAAAAATAATTGATGGCTTACCATATCTTAAAATAAAAAGAGCTGCTTCAGATCCTCTACCACATGAACGGAAGGATGGTTCAGCAATCATAAGACCGATTTCACCAATTACATTTTCACCATCTTTTCGTATATATAAATTAGCATCTCCAATCATAGATACTGTGTGGGAAAAAGCTATATCTTAACGATTTCTCTGAAATTAACTACAATCTCATGGTGTATTGAAATAAAGCAAATTTGTTGTGAAAAAAAAGCTGTAAAAATAATTTTGTTACCTATTTCATTGTTACTCTCCTCCATGAGCTTTTTATCCAGCACAATAAATGTACATTCTGGCAAAAAAAAAAATATCAATATTAAGAAATTCACATTATCCTTAAGCTATTTATTGAGCTAAAGCATGGAATATACTTTCATTTAACAGAAAAATTCATTTTCAATGTAAGCAGTTAGGGAGTTTTCTATCAAAAGTGTATCTCCGCTTTTCTTTGCCCCAAGAGTAAAACAAATTTCTTTACCATTTCAAGATGTACAGCTTCCATGAAACAATCATGTTTTCATTTACTGATCTATGGGAAAATAACTTTTGTTATGGAAGCAAAGCTAGCATGAAGAAGTGCTCTGAGAAACTACCAGGCATAATTAAAGAAGATGATAACTTATGGTAGAAAGCTCCTCAACTATAAATGGACTTAATTATTAGTAATACGTTTGTCGATTTTTAATGCTGTTTTCAGATTCCTTTATTTCCTAAACTTTTTTTTCTTTTAAGCACTCAATTTTATATAATTTTTGTTAACAATTTAACTAAAGTGTTTCCGACTGAGCACATTTTGTAGAGTTCCTGAAAAAGTGAAAATTGGACACAGTAAACTATTATGACAGGCATTATTTATATTGGTAGAAACACTACTCTTCTAATAGCTTCAGATACCATATTCTTAATTATTGCTAGTTTTTCTTTTTAATAATGAACAAAATGGTCACCATGACAAAGTAACCTTATTTATTCATCTCATTGTGAGGATAATATAGTTAAGACTTTCAAATGTTCCTAGATGAACAATATTTTTGGATTTAATCATATCTTGGATAGAACTCAAAAGCTGTCCTCACTCAACCACACAATTATTGCTCTATTGCTGTTAGCTCACTCTTCCTTATCTTTATTACAAAAGCTTCATTGATTTTCTGAAAAATAAAAATTTCCACAAAAACCAAGGAGAATAAGCTTTCAGAATATCATGATACTGATTGACACATTATTTATTGTTTGGAGGTGGAACAAGATCACATTGTGATATGACTTCCAGCTTTAACTGAAAAGGTTCTATTAAGGGTTTTCTCATCTCTTTCCCTAGCACAACCCATCTGTAGCTATGGTTGTTAGTAGTGGGTTACTTTATTGTTAATATAAATGTAATAATAAATAAAAAAGTAAGGAACTGAATAACATGGTAAATTTATGCTAAAGCTCAGGAGGATCTTTTAAACCTATAGCTACGGACACTAAAAAATTAGGCAGGATTATATTAAGATTAAATGAAATAAGTAACCAATAAACTTATAAGCAAATCAATGTCAACTGTTTAATTTGGCAACATACAAAATTCTTCATATTTTTAATTCAAAAATGATAATAAAAGAAATTTTTCATCAACTTATAATTTTTGTTTTAATGAATATTCAATATAAAATTAAGAACAAATTTTATATTGACATGTGGGTCATCCTCAGGGCTATCCTATGGAAGTGGGGAAAAGAACTCTTAGGGATAACCCACATTTTTGGGTCTTGACGTCAATTAGACCACTTACCCTTCTGAAAAGTATAAAATTAACTTAATGCAATTATGCTCAAAACATTGTTTTGGTCAATATTGTTTGGAATTTTTCAAGCATTTAAAGTACTAACTTTCTTCATCATTTAGCCATGTTTGTTGCATTTCATACTCTTCTTCAAGAGATAATCGCTCTGAAGCTGTCTGCTTTCGCAATTCTTCTGACTCCATCCAATCATGATACCTAGAAAAATTGAGAATTTGATCTTCATATGCCTTTTATTGGTGTATTCTCAAAATGTGATCAAATTATACTTTTCGACGTGTTTTTTCCTGTAAGGAACTAAAATTATTTTGGTTCCAATTATTTGGATTTCACTATTCAACTTCATAATGTAAGACTTCGACTAAAAAATTTATTTTCCTCTTAGAATGTATATACGACTGATTACATATTAAACAGGTTATGTTTATCTTCCAATGAGCTGTAAGTAGGTTTCTTAACACAGGTATATTTTTTGTTTTTCTTTTAAATATAATTTTTTAAGGAAATACATCAAAAAAATAAAAAAAACAGAGTATTTTTCTTGTTATTTAATAGTTCGCTCAAATGCTTTAATTAATACATCATGTTTTTTTATTCATTTAATATTGATATATAGTTAATGAGATTATTTATATCCCAACAATAGTAACAACATGGATAAATTTCACAGCGAAAAATATTGTTAAACTTCTATTATACAAGCAGAATCCTATAATCGTGGGAAAAATAAAACTTCCTAGTAACCGTGGGATTGGAAATAAACAAAGCCCCTTGGCAACCCATGAGTCTTATTTTTAACATTAAAAAATGCCGATTCTAATCAAAGATTATTCTTGGAGACAGACGAACCATTTGGTAATTGTGCGAGTTCCTCTTCGTAATATTCCATACAAGAAAGTTGACTTGTTTCATTCAGATCTTTATATAAAGGTATGGTGGCTTGATTTCATGTTATTTCAATCATATCATAATAACATCTAAACAGTTAATGATTTTATTATGTCGTCCTCATCATCATATTTTAGGTACATTTTCCTCCCTTTCTATTTGAATGTTGCCTTTATGAACCTATAAATGAAGATGAGAGCAAATGTACAATCGTTGAAGGAGAAGCCGTATTTGAACTTGCCAAAAATGAGGAAAAGGTTTGGCCCACCCTTAACAAAGAAGTCACTAAACAAGAGATGGTCCAAATAAAGAAAGAAGCCATCGAGCATGCACAAAAAAGGACTAAAGAACTCATTGAGAAAAAGAAAGGTAAGAGAATACTAACTACAAACTTTAGTTAAAATAATGTATCTTTAGGATTTTTTTTTGTTTATGCATCAGTATATAAATAATTTAATGAATTCACCATCCCTATAAGGGTGTAGTGTATGGAAAATTCTTGAATAACTAATTATAAGTTACAAGATTATTACGAAGTTTTATTTATAAAAATTTAAATTTATAATATTTGACAGAAGGATGACCTGGGGCCCACATGTCAAAATGAAAAGAAAGACTTTGAACAAGTGACTGAAAATACTATACTCACTGTTTTCTAAATCAAAATTTAAAATTAGACAAAAACTAAATACATACACTTACCTGCTCAAATTCATTTGGGCATACGCCTCACAGATTTACGGTTCAGCAAAAAAGACTCACTTACAAAAACTATAATCCTTTCAATCTAAAATTTTAAGAATAATAACTGCAGCTCCCTGGTACGTCAACAACAAGACTTTACATTCCGACCTAAGACAACCAACCATTGACCAGCAAATACATACTCTTTAGTCCCGATTTCATCTAAAACTAAAAGGACAAGAGGAAACTGAAAAGGAGCTGGATGAGAGATCTCCTTTCCTGATTTTAGGATGTAAACAGGCCAGGGAAGAGGTGCTGCTGGGCTCCATTCTTCGCCATGTCTATCATGCCATTTTCAACTTAACAGCAAATCTGCTAATTGTCACTACCATGACAGGTACGGATGAAGAATTAAAGACAAAAAAAAATGTATATAACAGTATACAGTATAATAATAAAACTTAATAAGGAATAGAAATTTCCTTTATGATAGTTGCTGACTCATATGAAATACTCCAGGCGTGCTCGTTGAGACCGTTTGCTGAACCTGAAAACTGCTATCATAATCCTTTACATTTAATTACATAAGCTATAATAATACCTTTACATTAAAGATGAGACTATGTTTGCCAGCATCCACTGCTCTTCCGTTCATGCATGTTTATTTGAAAATTGTGAAGAGCTGTTTTAGATTATCACAAAACAAAAATCTAAATGAATTGCTTCGGATGACCTAAGATATGCGATTAGGCCTTTCCAACTGTTTGAATAATAAATATTTGAACCAATGGATCATGGGAGGGTCCGACAGCACATGATTTGTTTGAACTACTTGTTAGAACTGTTTATCTTTCTTTTGAAGTTTTGATCTTAGCTGGGAAGCCTTAACTGATATAATAACTACAATGTACCTCACAAGAAACTTTCAAGCACCCTCATTATCAAAAATTTTAGTCTAATTCTCAAGTTGGAGTAGTCCTCACATGGTTCAATTCAGACTTAGTGATCCGTAGATATCTACGCTTTCATGTAACAAAATCGTTCATTCACATAATGATTCATATAATAATGTGTGCAGAGATCACCATTCTGTTGGTATCTCGTTTGTAAATCTTTCTTTATATATGCAATTTTTTACCATCGTAAAAACAGTTATATAATCTCTACTTTCATCGGCACTGAAGATCTATATTATTTACTATAATAACAGCTATCACTTACCTAAAGTCCATAAATGACTTACAGCCTCTTTTTCTTGTAAATAACAATTGTTATTGAATAAAAATGTGGTGCTAGGATACTAAGATGGCCATTTCAACTGGTCAAGTATAAATAAAGACTGAAACACAAAAATTCGGATTGATAGACCTAATATCGTAGGTTAATTGCAAAAAGTCAAGAAGTGATGTTTCGTAACTTTATAGTACTAAGAACTTTGATGTTTTTTTATGTGAAATCGGAAAATTTGGCTCTTGTTATAAACTATATTTCATATACTAAAGGGTTTGTTAAATTTTAGTGCAGCTAACGTGATTTTTATCAATAAACAAGGTCTTAAATGTACTTAGTGACATTTTGCAATAAATTAACGATAAAAACTGTAATGTATGGAAGCGGCGTTTCTCATAATGTTAAGATTTGGGTAAGTTAGGAAGCGTAAAAAGAAGAGAGGTTTCACTAAGGAAAATTGCGAAGCTCTTGACTCAAATATAGATTATATTGAGCCAACGAACAGCAGCAAAAAAAAAAAAAAAAAAAAAAATAAAAAGCATGCCACATATAGTATTAGACATTTTCAACCTTTTATATGACCTATAAAGTTAAAATATTTTAATTTACTTGATTGGCGCCTCTAGAATGGCCATGAATTGATTAAAATGTTGTTCAATTCATATATTTTAAGATTTTCATTCCATTAACACAGAATATTATTGCAGATAAAAGAAAAGAGAGAAGGGATGCTTGTATCGGGCAACAAATCGCCATAGATACAAAATCTCGTGAAATTATTCAAGACAAAAAAGATAGTGAAAAGAGAATAGCATTCGGAGATGTTATGGATTGGAAAGAAAAAGAAACTGATAAAGATTTTCTTCCTTCCCCACTGGAAAGAGCAACTGCATTAATAAAGTCTCTAAAAGGTAAAACTTTTATTAAGTAATTTAATTTAAAGAAAAAATATTTTAAATATTAATTAAAGTTGCTGAAGTAGGATGTTGAATTGCTAGATAAGAATGAAAAGGGAAAATCAAACCAAAACGATATAATTTCAAATGGAATTAATAAATCTGAAGAGGATGAAAATAGTACAGATGAAGAAAGCAAAAATGAATCTGAACCAGACAAATCTAAAGAAATATGGAAAAATGATGAAGTTTGCTGTAGGAAGATACCTAAAGAAGAAAAAGTTACAAGTCAATTAAAAAAGACATTAGAAAACAAATCTAAAAAAATCGATAAAGACTTTGTGCCTCCACTTAGACAAACAGGATCTATAAATGTTGGTTTCACACATAGGCCATTTCCAACTCCATCCAGGGAATCCACCTACAACCAAGAACAGGAGGTAAGTTATATTTTTATAATAACAATAATAATGCATAGAGAACCCAAAGGTTCGATGTCGATACCACCAATCGATGCCTGGCGTCGTCCAATCCAAACCCAGCCAAATCAGCCTTAACGCAATCTAACCACCTTATGACAGTCTGCGTAACATGTATAAACTTTTTAGAAATTCTTTCGTTACCAAGCCCAGCAATTTTACTTTCCCATTTTATTCGCTTCAACGTAATCATCTAATTGTATTAACCGGGAACAGTTCGTGCAATTCAGCGTTACGTAACCATCTAAATCATCTTTCTTCGGTCCGAATATTCTACTCTATATTTTATTATTTTTATTTAATATATATGTTTATGGTTACATCTTATCTTATAGCAGAGGTATCCATACGTCTATTAAGCCCTGTGGGCCATGTCTTGTGAAGACGAAAATATCAATGTTTGAAATCATTGAAAATCAAACGATATCATCGATATATCGGCCCAGTGATTCACTAAATTTTATATTTTCATTTAAAAACTTTACCATGTAATCACAGCACATTCCGTGATTTGGAGACCCCTGCCGTATAGCATTACAATAACTGTTGAATGCATATAACTAACGAGAACCATGTACGATTTTGAAAACTATAATCTTTCAGATTTAAATATATCCCTAAAATTTTTTGTGAACGAATATGAATGTCTAAATTGAACCTCATTTTTATGAAACTCAATTTCCAATAAGTTACTACCAAAGATTGTCCTTTATTTTTTGCTTTTTAGTGGCTGGTAAAACAGAAAGAAGCACGAAGAAAAACTGGTTTTATGGCCGAAGATCTAAGACCTGAAGAAAATGACCCTATTTGGCTCCTGGAGAAGGGAAAGTAATAATTATTTATTTTATTTTTGAGATCTATTGTGTTTTTGTGAAATTGTCGTTTTTGTGATCTATTTAGCTCCTACTTTTTTTTAATTTGACATTTGCGCCGCTGTTAAGCCGACCTGTGATTTTAACTTTTGTTTATATTGAAAAAACGCTGCAAATTATTTCCAAACAATTATACATCTAAAGTAACATTACCTTCCTATTTACAAAGAAAAATAAACAAAAGGTGATTCCAATTATTGGACTAAACTTTTTTATTTTTTTTAATCAGTAGTAATATGCTAAAAAAAAATAGCATTACTTCAGTAACATTCAAAATTTAACCAAGGATATAACATTTGGAGTAGAACATATAAAACAAAAAACCGGAGACCATATCTTTGCTCCTAATTGTCCAATTTTAACGATTTTTTTTTTTTTGTTTTTTAGGAAATTTCGTTAACTTTTATAAAACCATAACAATATCACAAGTAAACTTTTTGTAAAAGTAAAAGTAAAAGTGTAAACTTTTTGAGTTATTCGGAATTTAATTTTACCATCCCTCGTAACTTTTTTTCAGCTTCTTTTCGCTGATGAATGTTATATAGATAAATTGAAAGGGTGTCGAGAAAATGACTTTAGCGAAGTGGTACATTCGTTTAGGAGCTACAGTCTATAGAAACGCAGGTTTTTCGGCCGCCATTTTGAAAGTAAAAGGCGGATAGTAATGTCGATGAAGGAGGATCATCCTCGGGTGACCTCGGATTTTATATCAAAATTTGAAAAAAAAAAAATCGGGCCAGTAGTTTCGGAGAAAATGCACGGACGGTGGACGGCGCAGGGACAAAAATTTTTTAATCGTTTTTCGAATTCTACCCATCCTGAAAAGTGAAACCTCAAATTTTGAGAGAATGTTCAGTATTTGAATTTTTTGTTCGATCACAATGGTTGATTATTGAAAATAATAAACCAAAATACACACAGAAATACACTTATATATACATTTTTTAAAAATATAAATTGCGAAAATCTCTCGAGCAGGCAAAAACTAGATCCTCAGACCTGCATATGTAATAGAAGTTATTTTAGCTTTGGTAAACATATGAACAGAGTGACCTATAGACTTAGATGATAAAAATATGGTATTTTTACATTTTCTGGAATAAAAATAACATTAAATAGGCCAAAAAAAAAGAAAAGAAATTTTAAAATATGGAATGTTAAATTCGCGAAAGCGCAGAATTCGAACAATTTTCACAGATTCACTCAGCTTTCTAGAGTTTATACAACGGCTTTTAATATTAACTATAAAGAATACCAACTGAAGTGGATAACAAAGTAGTAAAATGTTAATAATAACGTAATATTATTCAAAGAACATAACACGTCAAGATAAACGATTGGTCCTTTGGCTTTAAATATATGTTGGATCCACAATGTCTGTATAGATAAATCAGTTTCCAATCAAGGAGATTAAAGTACAGTACTTTTAAATTGAAACATTTATCATTTTTATAAACAATTGATTTGTTCGATGATTTTTTTACTCCACTGTATATTTATATTTATACTATAAACCCAACAATATGTTGTTATATAGATCATTCCACGAAGCTGAAAATTACCTTGGAGCGATTTCTGCTTATACTCATGCTCTCAGAACTTGGAACAAGATACCAGAGCTATACGTGGCGAGGTCCAACAGCCAACTGTGCATTGGTAACTTTAGGCGTGTTCTAGAAGACACCTGTGAAGTAATTTATATTTACATTTACACTTTATACACTACTTGGAAAAAAGCCATTGTCCTTCCTTTGAATAAAAATTCTAATCCGACCTCACCCGAAGATTTTCGCCCAATCTCAATTCTTTCCAACCTCTCAAAACCCCTAGAAAGATTGGTGCAATCCCAAATCTCCAACTTCCTTGAAAAGTCCAACCGACTTGATCCTCTCCAATCTGGTTTCCGTCCCAGCTACTCCACACAATCCGCCTTAATTAAAATCACCAGCGACATTCAAACTGCAATAGATGATAAAAAGTTAACAATCCTTATCCTTCTCGACTTCTCCAAAGCCTTCTATTCCATTAACCATTCCATCCTTTTCAACAAACTGAAATTATTATCCTTCTCCAATAGTTCCATTTCTTGGTTTCAATCTTTCTTTTCACAACGTACCCAAGCAGTCTCCATACCCGTACCACTATATACCAACCACTATCTGCCTTCCTTTCTTTATCCTATGGAGTTGCCCAGAGTTCTAGCATATCTCCCTTCTTTTCAGCTCCTACATTAACGACCTACCTAAATCAATTCTCCATTGTTCCCACTATCTTTATGCAGACGATTCACAGATGTACCTATCATTTTTCCCTTCTGAGTTACTGGGGGCATTTGCCAAGATCCAAGAAGACCTAGATCGAATCAGTGCCTGGGCAAATGTAAATGGATTAAGGTTAAATGCTGCCAAAACTCAGGCCATTGTCATTGCTTCCAAGCCCCTTCTTAGATCCCATACAGACTTTCCCATCCTTCAGCTTAATGACCAGCCAATCTCCTTCTACTCCTCTGTTAATAATTTAGGATTTTTCATTGATCGAAACCCCTTTTGTAATCACCATATTTCTTATATCTCTCGACGGACAATTTCCACCCTCAAACTATTCCATCGCTTCCGCCATCTCCTACCTCAACATACACGTAGATTCCTAGTTTCCTCTCTCATTTTCCCCCACTTTGACTATAGCTGTGTGGTGTATGATGGCCTCTCTGTGGAGCTCCGCGATAGACTGAAAAGAATAATGAACAGCTGCGTAAGATTTGTGATCGGGGCCCCAAGATACTCCCATGTTTCTCACCACTATCCTGAGTTAAAGTGGTTTTTCCTCTCCTTCCGAAGACAATATTTCCTAGATACAGTTCTCTACCAAATCATCAACAACCATCGTCCTTCTTACGCCTACAACCTTCTCCAGTTCAAATCCTCAGTCCATTCCCTATCCACAAGATCTCGACCTTCTAACCTTTACATGTCTTCTCACAGATCTGCCTCATTCCAAAATTCCTTTATTGTTCGCTCTGTCAATTTCTGGAATTCCCTCCCTATCAAAATTCCACATTCCCCATTCATATCCACATTCAAAACCCTCCTATTCCAATTCCTATACCAAAAACAGTCATATAGTTGCTAACTATTCGAGCTGATTTTAATAGAGAATTTGATATATTTTTATTTTTTAAATCTTTATTATTTTCTTAAAAGTGTATACTCTTCTATCAGTGCAAATAGCTTTAAGTGTCTTGTCATAGTATTAATTGTTTTGTATATAGTTTCGTTTGTTTTGTATATAGAATGTTTACCTTATATTTTCTTTACATTATTTCTTTTTTTCGATTGGTTTATTTTGGCCAGATGTAATCTTATAATTGTTTTCTATTTTGTTATTCTCAAGGGACTGTGTCCCAGAATAAAGTTATTTTTCTATCTATCTATCTATAAGCCTTTCATAATGTAACTTCAACCATAAAACTAATTTTATTAAACTTATAGGCGATAAGTTTGTTGAAACCTCACGTGGAAAGCAATGCCGAGCTGAGATTCCAAGCCCACTATAACAGGGGAAGAGCTCTGCTTCAACTAGGCAAGCCTCAATCCGCCTTGACTGACTTTGAGGATGCTCTCGAGATCCACCCTTATCGGAACGACATCCACAACCTGATGGATCGTGCGGAAGCTGACATTGAAGCAGAAAAAGCCGAAGAAAATGCCCCCGAACCACCAAAAGAATCACAGGAGTTTGAAGGCATTCAGCGAGAATATATAGATCCAGATGTTCTTGCCAAATAGATGAATTTCTGTTATGAATAAAAAAATTAATACTATTTTGGGAAGTTATTTGGACTTGTTCTTAATAAATGACAATGGGGACAAGGTGTCCCTACTTTTAGAATGAAGTATCCGAACATTCCTTCCTGGACCTGTAACTAACTTCTTTTTCGCATGGTCATACTTAACAGCCTAATAAGTTTTATGAAGCAACCTAAAACCATTTTCATTTTTGTTTTCATATATCTTATTTCTTACTGAATTATCATATTCTAGCTTGTAATCTATGAACAGAGGATATAAATTAACGTTACATTCATTGCAATAGCATGTCCCTTCTTAAGTCATTAGCATGTTCCTGAGTGTGAATAAAGCCAGGAGACTTCGCTTTATAGACAGGCATGTAATGTAATATGGCCCACGTCAAATAAAATACTCTTGAGAATCAAATGTAAGAAACATCCTTATTCCAATATTTTGTGAGAAATGCTGCTTACAGGACCAGTATGAAACCTTTCAACGTTTTAAATCATTTATAATTGTATCTCTTAAGAACTTTTTAAATCATTATTTTTAATCTTGTACGGGCACCACACAGCTTTCATTTATCACCATACAGGGTATTTTTATACATTATCTCTCAAAGGTGTTTTTTTGTGGCAACGCCATAACTTCATCGATTCTTTATCAAACCTAACGATTGACCCCTAATTTTGAAGACCTCCTTCTCCTTCAGGTGGTATAAATAGTCACGTTCTCCCGATTTTTCAGTATAAAAAAGTTAGGAAGTAAAAGAAACATTATTAAATCCCTGCTTATTTGAAAGATTAATAAATTCCTTACAAAAAAATTATTGTATTTGGACAATTATTAGCTGAGGTACAGGCTATTTCAACTTGATAACATTCAACTTGAGAAAATATTTCTGTCATTTTCTCTTTTAGTTATATTTTTTTGTTCAGTATTCATTTTTATCCAAAGGGTCTCTTATTGTTGTACTTCTACTAACAATAAGAAATCTTTGAATATTTCAAATAAAGCATACTAAAGGTACATCAGGTTCACTTCAAAAATTTAAAATTTACGCCCTATAAAAAAACCTGTAAACACTGCAATCCATGAGGTTTATGGTTCAGTACTGTGTTAGAAAGTACTGTTTCAAGGCCAATAGTTGTGCATAGAGATGATCGGGCCAGGATCACGCTCAACGCCAGATTTCTCAATTAATTGATTATTTAATTAAGAGTTCCAAGTTTATAGAGGATGGGTCTGCTCCAGGAGTCAATCCAGGCTGTTGAAAAAATGACTTAATATCAGCCGGATTCTAACCCCGGACCTTGAACTTAGCAGCCTAGTACCTAACGCACTGAGCTATTCCGCTTCCCATTTATAAGATATTTAAGATCTTATTATTATAAGATTATTTAAATGAGTCAAATTTCAATTTTACACCGATTTGACAAGTTTGATCAAAACCGTTTGTTTGAGGCGCTTTCGAGAAAATAGAAAAATATGTGAAATCCATTATTAATAATTTTACTATGATTAGTACTTATCGTTTTTAAGCTAGCCTGTTCATATACCATTATGCGAGTCTTTTATTTCTAATCAAAGGACCTTGAAACTCAGATTAGATTTTTTTTTTACGATCGCAATGCTATTCCTTAATATAATTATATTTTTAGATAGGTGAAAGTAAAAAGAAAAGAAAAATCTTCAACTTATTTTATTAATGAAACCAGACTTATCGCTTTGATTGGAATGACTATACTAGTTGGAGTAAAATGTTTTGGATTCGGAATTTTATATCGTAATACAGTTAAATTTTTAGTGAGCTTCTACTCATCTTTACAAGTCTACAACAGTTTTCCGACATAGCCATTCCATAAAAAAATCTTCTAAGCTTGTATGAAACAAATCCAAGGCACAACTCCTAAGAAGGTGCTCCATAATATTTCGTTGTGCGTGCTCAACAATTTGAAAAGATTTCGATTACTTTACTCTTTTAAAATAATTGTTCATTTTATTATTAATTTCCAGTCTCTCTATAAATATAATATAATTTTTTTTAAATACTTCTTAATTAAAATCATATGCATTTTACATTTATATAAAAGGGGATTTCTATGTTTATCTTTAATGCGATAATGTTTCATTCTATGTTACTGTTAAAACGCACTTTTAATATATAGGCCAACACCTGGTAGGATGCAAATTGACTTTTTGATGTAGAATGAAAATTGTTTACTGTTACATTTCTACAAATAATTGAATTGAAAAAGTCTCTTTTCTATTTTCGTATTATTTTTAATCCATCTATCATTGATAGCCTGAAGAAGGAAGTAGTCTTAGCGGAAGTAGCAACAGCTTACAATGCACCACGGATCTAATTCCAGAAGTCGAGTGAAGAAGCGAAGTCATTATTCCGGTAAGCTGAAAATAGTGACGCGTCAGGTGAATTTGTAATGTTTTGTTCCCGAATGACATGATGTTTAAATTTATCAGAAATTTTTCTTGGTGAATCTATAATAAGTCGTATTAATTTAGAAACCACTTAAAACGACCTGAATGAATATTTCGAGTTGTTTTAAGTCAGGTTAAAAAATAAACAAAATTTCTATTATTAATTACAAATACCATATGTCTTGTTTACTTCATTAAATTAAACAATAACCTCTCATACGAGAGGAGTTATTTTATTCTTAAGTTTTATATTGCGTTGAGTTTTACGTCAGACTTATTGACTTTGAGTCGATTTTCATCTCTGGGTTTTTAGATCTTTTTATTCTCCTATTATATAGATAAATTGCAGCTCTTATAATTTGGAAAAAATAAGTGATTAATTAAATTAAATCATTAAATTTAAATTATTTGAAGGATCACTAAACGTTAGATGTTGTGTTACCTTATAGGTAAGAATCCTTAATGTTGTTTTTTTTTTTAATGTAGTAACTTGTTCGACTTTAGTTGTTAGCTAGTAAAAGTAACATAAATAAAACTGTTTTGCAGTTTAAAATAATTACATTTGTTTTTCATACATTTTGTAATATAGTAAACACGTTAGTTATTTGCTCTTTCCTTTTAATACAAAATATTCCAGCTATTGGTATTCATTAACATTATTTGAAATCTGGTACTTATGTTGTATTACGACAGGAACTTTGCAAAAACCAAGTGCAATAACTATAATTATCCACAGAATAAAATAAACCATTTAATTTTTTATTTTATGAATTCGATTTTCCGTGCATATTTAACTGCATGTTGAAGACAAAGATGTAATACTTTAAATGATGTTTTTTATTTATATTTCTAAATATGGGTGAAACCAGATATTTCTGAGATCGACCACGCAAGTTCGAATCCGTACTTTCTACTACAATTGTACTTAGAGGTTTTGCAACGTGGCTGTCAATTTATTTCAAAATCAATTACTGCATAAACGTACATCCTTAATTGTTTCCTGAATGGAACAGTATTAGTCCGTGGTGCAGACCCCTTTTTATCGAATTATTAACATCCGCCTGAAACTTCGTAAATAGCTTCACGAAAATAGCTTTACGAAAACACTTGAAATTGAGGCGTTTTCAATCTGGAGGAGGGCAAACTTTGTGAATTTAATTAGGTACTAAAAACTCTTAAATACATTTGCTTTCTACTTGTATCGTAAGATAATTTGATCACAAAATCGAGAAAAAAGGCAGCCTTCAGAAATATTGAGCCGTTTGGGGTGACTTGCACCCCAAATTTTCAAAATAACGAGGTTAAATAGGGCAAACGGACCAATATTTTTGTAGGCCACCTTTTTATCTATCTTATGATCAAATTATCTTACGATACAAGTAGAAAGTAAATGGGTATTTACGAGTTTTTAGTACTTAACTAAATAGATAAAGTTTGCCCCCCTCCAGATTGAAAATGCCCAATTCCAAGAGTTTTCGTAAATAAAATAGTTTTAGGTTAAGATGAGATGAAAGTATTTACGAAATTTCAGCCGGATGTTAATAATTGGATAAAAAGAGGTCTGTACCACGGATTATATAGTTTCATCCAAAATTTTGAACGCTCATTTGTTAATGCTACTAGGTGTGGCTATTAAATAACGAGAATGGTGCTGTAAAACATTTTATTTTGATTTCATACCAATTTTCTTATTATCAGCTTCAATATACACCCTCTCGATCCCTGCAATCCTCTATGCGAATCATTCATTGTCTGAACCAGTGCTGGAACAACATTATTTGAATAATATCGAAATAAACAATCACCTTTGCTTTCAATTTATATTTACTCATTCGAGCTTTTTATGACTCTCAGTGACTTTGTAGTTTTTCAGTGTGTGGATTTGGGATTCATTTCAGGATCAAACATTAAAAAAACACGATCCGTCAATCTTCATTAAAATGAACAAGATTTGAATCCGTTAAAGCTGTGGAAGAGAAAGTGGCACACGCTTCAAGATGGAGATGATATAATAAGACTTCTAGCATTCTTTAAGACAATGGAAAATTCGCATGAACCGTTGTAGGAGTAGAGGAGGGGTGTGTATGTGTGTGTGTGCTATCGAAGGCGGTGATAAGTAAATGTGTAAGAAATCAAAATGAAATGTTTTACAGCATCAGTCTCGTAATTTAAAAGCCACATGTCGCACTTAAGTCGAACGTCAATACAAACTATAAATATATAAAGTTTTGCCGGTATTACTGTACAAGTGTCACTCGAATTTGACGAGTGGGCTAAGAACCCATGATCATACTATAAAAGTGATTTTGAAAATGACCAGAGATTGACAAGGTATTCACATAGTATCCATTTATTTAGATTCGCGATTTACGACTTCCGCTGATTGTCTGCTGGTTCTTTTCAGTTTAATCGGGGCGTTGATTAGCTTTAATTACGTTGTTGCTTACGGCTCCCACTTGCTAAGCTCTTAAGAGTTTAACAAATTTACAACGAATCCTTACGAAGTTTAGATCGGGGCCTAACAAGATTATTCGGCAAGTTCCGTCTACTTTCGGAGACACTCGGTCATTCTCAGGATTTCATATATGGTGTGATCATGAGATCATGTCTGACCTATCAAAGTGGAATGATACTTGTACTGTAGTGCCTATAATAATATAATAACTTGGGATTATTAAAGGGGTTATTAATGGATTATTACTACGTAATTGTGGTCCTTGAAAAGGTAAATAAACGTCCAGTTTGTTCTTTGGGTTATGAGTTCAGGACTCGACAAACTTATGAGGACCTCTTTTAAAATTCATGTTTTGCTTTAAACGAGAACTGGCTGTGTGGTTGCATTTAATTCTCGAAACAACTTTTCTATATTTTTAATATAGTATAAATTAAATCTAGTTTAAATAATTAATATAGCAAGTAAAAAATGAAAAATATATTCATTTGCAGTCGGTAGAGATAGGCATAGTTATTGGAAACGGTCAAAAAGTTACCGTAAAAGGAGGTGGAATAACATCCAGTTCCCGTATCCTCGCGTTAGACCGTTCCCGCGATTGTGGGCCGACCTTCGGGATAGAGACCAGCTCTGCGATTGCACCGTGGAAAGCAAAGATGGAAAAATTTACAGGTATATTGATACAACACTAGTTCACATTTTATCTCCATAAATTTGTATAATAACTGATATATATTTTTGTTTTTTTTGTCCATTATAGAGTTTGTTCCAACAAGCAGTCGAAAACAGTCCAGGTCTGTGTTGCTTGTTAGGACAGACCCATTGTTATTCTTAGAATAAACAGACCTCATCTCAGAATAAAGTTTATCTATTAATCTATTAATAAAAATTAAATTATTTACCAATAAAAACTACTTCATCTATCGACAATAAGCTTTGGTTAGTGGTGGGTTTTTCACCTACGAAAAATACCGTCCCAACTAGAAAACATATGAGTGGTCTCATATCAAAGACGGTCACCTGACATTTTTAAAAAGTTGAGAAAAAGCCAAGTTTCTGTAACATAACTTCTGTAATAGTAATAAGTAACATAGTTTGTGTAATAGTAATTAGTTTCTGTAATTTAAACAAATTCTAATCATTGTTTTTTTTTTTATGATTCAACTTTAACACTCTTAAGTATACTAATCTAACAGTTTGCGTCAAACCTATAAAACAAAAATTGACTTTTCTTCTACTTTTCTAAAAATTACTGATGTCCGCCAGTTATATAAAGCAACTCATAAAATTGTTAGTTTTTCCTCAACTCAGGGGCGCCCAGAAGGCGTTTTGATGGCGCAGATTGTGCGATGAAAATTGTTTGATGGAGTTTTGAACTTTAGGGGGGAGGATAAATTTTGACAAGTTCATTAATTATCAGAATGAAAAGTTCAAACCAGGGGACAAAGAGAATACATGGAACAGACCGCAGAAAGTGTAATTGTATATGATCTACGATTTTTTAAATTCTATTTACTCTTAGGAAATGAATAAATAAGGCCAATGAGACTCTATTATTGGATTCTGTAAAGAGCTGTATTGCGAAAAAGAAGTGGAGAAATTTGTTAAATGAGCGGATCGAGCTCCCAGAGAAACCTGCCGAGAAAGGAGGCTTAGGCAGAGTTCCGGATGATAACAGGCCACGATTACCTTAGGAATCACCTGCATAGAATAGGAGTGGCAGACTCTCCACATTAAAACCTATGTAATTCTTGAGCATATATGGGCGCAGCACATTTAGGTGTATGCTCGAGCTTGTTGAACATAAGACATACCACGTGGTGCAAATCAGAATGTTTCTGGGCTGCTATATCTCTGATGGTGGAAGCCGATAAAGAGAGGCACAGATAAAACAAAAAAAAAAAAAATCTTTATCTTGAGGTAAGGTTTATGATCGAACTTAGAGAGGTGGCTGGATACCTCTGCTTCAACTCTCTTCATATTAACTAGGTATTCTGTACTTCTGAGGTCTCATAAGTATTACAGAATACGTTGTTAATATTATAGTTATATTAACAAACAGAATACCTAGTTAATATAGGCTAAGTTACTCTGAAATCTCTCAGATCTTTCCTTGTTTCAAAAATGTTATCCATTATTATTAAATCCGTCCCTTCCTTTTTCTAAATTCATCTCTTACTTTCTGTGATAGATTTATCTCATTGCCTGAAGTAGACATTTCTCACAAATTATTATATTTTATGAAGTTTTAATTTAAGGCTCAAAGTTTAGAAGGCAAGATCCAAAGAAACTAAAATCTACTAACGATGTAGAAACCAAGACTATTCGCATTGTGTTTTGTATTGCAAACAGAAATCAACACTAGATCTAGCAATAAAAATTGAAAGGTTCCGATTCCCATTCGGACTATGTGAATTATTATTGAAGCTAAATGAAGTACCGTACTAGGACACCTTTTACAGATGGGATCTAGCAAAAGCTAGCGAGACTATACGAGCCAACTATAGGAGAAATGAGGAAAGAGACGGCCTAGAACGACTTGGGAACATAAAGTAAAGAGGGACTTCCTGATAAAAGGACTTCAATACACCAGAACAAGACAGCTGAATACCGACAGAACTAAAGAGGACTCAATCTCCTCTTCACACAGCATAGGTAGCTCAAAATAAAGGAATATGATGATGAAACTAAGCGCCATACGAACCCCATACTCTTTTCACAAATCTTTCGAAAGAGACCGACTAGAATTTATTAATTGCTTGACATTACAGTTCAGAAGATTGTAATCGGGACGTATTTTCTTTTTTTAGACGCTCAACGACACGTTGAATGCGGTACAACCCTATATATTTTATTTTATGGAGGCTCTAACATGTTTTGTGGTAGTACTTGTTACACCGAACGGAATTAGTGGTTGTGTAGCGTAATTACTCAGGGAATTATTTCTACATACCATTTACCTTTTCAATTGAAAACAGTTTCTTGCTGAAAGCCTGAAGATAAGAACGACGTCACAAAACTTAAAGTGTTATTCAAAACATGTAGGAGACTTTTATCATATTCCTGGAATGACTACTAAAAACTCTAGACCTAAATCCGATAGGGCATGCTGTGGGCTCTATATATAGTAACTAGAATTCCTTTCTCAGTACACTTGAAAAGTTTGAAACAGCTGTATTTAAGGATCAGACAAGATCCTTCAGAACTTTGTTAATAATCTTTTTGAGGGCAGATTAAGGCAAATGAATGCCGCAGTTCAGGCTGAAAGCAAGTTAACGTGGTCGTTATTAGTTATTAAAAAAATATAATCTTAAAACATATACTTTTAGAAGTAATGTATTGATTGAAATTCAATTAATTTTGAATGGTAGTTTAGTAGTAAGTAGAACATCACAAAAATAAAATACATGAAGATATGATAACGTTTTCAGAGGCCACCGACTTATTTTCGCCACCGCGGGAGAATACTTTCAAGCTGCATTCACAAATCCGTTGTCCAAATCTCATAAGCACATCATGCTGCCATTTTCTTCATCCGTCGTGGACGCCATTATGGAGTTTGCGTACACCGGTAACGTTAAACTCACCGTCGAGAACGTAGAAGAGCTCTTACCTGCCGCTGATCACCTAGGAATGGTGGGGCTGATAGATCTTTGTTCTCAATATCTGCACAAACAGGTGAGTAGACTTGTAAACAGGTGAATGTAAATTATCAATTTGTAAATAATAATATTTCCTAAATGACCTAATTCATTATTATCATAACAGATGACTCCAACAAACGCCTGGGGATTTTATAAGTTTGGTCATACGTACTCATGTGCCTGGCTGGAACGTGAAGCAAAAGCGTTTATTTTAAAAAAATTTGAAGAGTTCGTAACAGATGGAGTTGAATTCCAAACATTGTTGTATCAGGAGTTTCGGGATTTAGCTCGAAATGATTACCTGAACATCAATTCCGAGCATAAATTAGTCGAAGGTTGTTAATTTACAATATTTCAATAGATACCTCATTGGGTAAGAAATTATGATTAATGGTATTATTTCGAATTTCAGCAATCGATAAGTGGATTATGTACGATTTCGAAGTGAGAAAATTTTATGCAAATGATCTGTTTTCTTGCATTCGCTACGCCACGATTACACCTGGTTACATCTTCCCCAAAATCCATAACTTATCATATAAAACTTATGTTGGTAAAATCATCTACCTCACTGATTTCTTTTATTCTTTTCATTTCATATATTTATTAAAACTTTGTTATAGATTTCGCCTCATATACTTCAACTAGCACACAATGCCATAAAGAATCGCATGGAAAACGATAATTGCCTGGTTGAGACTAGTCACTCTTACATGTCCAGGCCCAGAGTGCCTTACTCAATATTGTTCGCGGCTGGTGGGTGGAGTTCTGGAGCTCCGACAAATCTTTTAGAAACATATGATATCAGGTAATAGTTATATAGATTACTGAATTAACAAAATACCGGTTTATATCAGCGCAAAGAATCAGATAAAAGTCTGCGATAATTGAATGTGAAAAATTAATGTAACCATAAAAAAAGCTGTTAAAAAATTTTTTTATCCTTAACTTAAGAAAAGATATGAAATTTCTAATGGTATGTGCACTGCTTGTAAAACATTAGTTTATAGTACTAATCATCAACTACATTATTTATTTATTTTTTATGGCTCTGCTATTTTTTTCTCATATTCATTTTTGTTTACGTTTCATGAGATCCAACAAGATCTTTCTGGTCGAAATTTTTTTCAATTATTCATAAAATTAGAGATTCCCAAATAAATGTATTGTAGTTAGAAGTTCTGGGTTCTGATCAGTTTAAGAATTCAATCCAACTAATTCATTAATCAACGGTGGACGAACACGTCCTACAATATTCATGAACAATATTATATATATATATATATATATATATATATATATATGTGTGTATAGTGTGTGTGTTTTCGTGGAATTTGGTCTTATTCGTTTGTAACTTATACTTTGTTCAGAGTGATCTTTGTCCCCAACATGTCTAAACTAGACCTGGGCAGAATTTATTTGAAAAATATTCCCGGAATAAATCCCTAAATAAACCTCGATAGTTATTTCCGAAATAATTTATTTCATGAAATAACCTGACCATTATTTCCGAAATGATTATTTCGGGAATAAATTATTTCAGGAATAACGATATCTGAAATGATTATTTCAGGAATAATGTGAAATCTGAAATAATCATTCCGATCGACTTTCAGATATAATCAATATCCGGGTCGACTGTTATGTTTTCGGGGTAGCTAATTATGAAAATACTGTCGAATTTGAAATTGCGCCACCCACTCCCCACCCCCCATCGACTTTTTGTAATTTTTCAGATATAATCGATATCAGGGTCGACTTTCATGTTTTCGGGGGCGCTTTTTATAAAAATACTGTCGAATTTAATATTGCGCCACCCTCTCCCCACCCCCCATCGACTTTTTGTAACTTTTCAGATATAATCGATATCAGGGTCGACTATTATGTTTTCGGGGGCGCTTTTTATGAAAATACTGTCGAATTTGATATTGCACCACCCCCTCCCCACCCCCCATCGACTTTTTGTAACTTTTCAGATATAATCGATATCAGGGTCGACTATTATTTTTTCGGGGGCGCTTTTTATGAAAATACTGTCGAATTTGATATTGCACCACCCCCTCCCCACCCCCCATCGACTTTTTGTAACTTTTCAGATATAATCGATATCAGGGTCGACTTTCATGTTTTCGGGGGCGCTTTTTATGAAAATACTGTCGAATTTGATATTGCACCACCCCCTCCCCACCCCCCATCGACTTTTTGTAACTTTTCAGATATAATCGATATCAGGGTCGACTATTATGTTTTCGGGGCGCTTTTTATGAAAATACTGTCGAATTTGATATTGCACCACCCCCTCCCCACCCCCCATCGACTTTTTGTAACTTTTCAGATATAATCGATCTCAGGGTCGACTATTATGTTTTCGGGGGCGCTTTTTATGAAAATACTGTCGAATTTGATATTGCACCACCCCCTCCCCACCCCCCATCGACTTTTTGTAACTTTTCAGATATAATCGATATCAGGGTCGACTTTATGTTTTCGGGGGCGCTTTTTATGAAAATACTGTCGAATTTGATATTGCACCACCCCCTCCCCACCCCCCATCGACTTTTTGTAACTTTTCAGATATAATCGATATCAGGGTCGACTATTATGTTTTCGGGGGCGCTTTTTATGAAAATACTGTCGAATTTGATATTGCACCACCCCCTCCCCACCCCCCATCGACTTTTTGTAACTTTTCAGATATAATCGATATCAGGGTCGACTATTATGTTTTCGGGGGCGCTTTTTATGAAAATACTGTCGAATTTGATATTGCACCACCCCCTCCCCACCCCCCATCGACTTTTTGTAACTTTTCAGATATAATCGATATCAGGGTCGACTATTATGTTTTCGGGGGCGCTTTTTATGAAAATACTGTCGAATTTGATATTGCACCACCCCCTCCCCACCCCCCATCGACTTTTTGTAACTTTTCAGATATAATCGATATCAGGGTCGACTATTATGTTTTCGGGGGCGCTTTTTATGAAAATACTGTCGAATTTGATATTGCGCCACCCCCTCCCCACCCCCATCGACTTTTTGTAACTTTTCAGATATAATCGATATCAGGGTCGACTATTATGTTTTCGGGGGCGCTTTTTATGAAAATACTGTCGAATTTGATATTGCACCACCCCCTCCCCACCCCCCATCGACTTTTTGTAACTTTTCAGATATAATCGATATCAGGGTCGACTATTATGTTTTCGGGGCGCTTTTTATGAAAATACTGTCGAATTTGATATTGCACCACCCCCTCCCCACCCCCCATCGACTTTTTGTAACTTTTCAGATATAATCGATATCAGGGTCGACTTTATGTTTTCGGGGGCGCTTTTTATGAAAATACTGTCGAATTTGATATTGCGCCACCCCCTCCCCACCCCCCATCGACTTTTTGTAACTTTTCAGATATAATCGATATCAGGGTCGACTATTATGTTTTCGGGGGCGCTTTTTATGAAAATACTGTCGAATTTGATATTGCACCACCCCCTCCCCACCCCCCAACGACTTTTTGTAACTTTTCAGATATAATCGATATCAGGGTCGACTGTTATGTTTTCGGGGCCGCTAATTATAAAAATAATGTCAGATCTGAAATTGCGCCCTTCCACCCTCCCGCATCAGCTTTTTGTATCTTTTCAAATTCAATCGATACCAGGATCAACTAATATGTTTTCGGGGTAGCTAATTAAGAAAATACGGTAGAATTTGAAAAAGATATGCCAAAAACATAAAAGACCACCCTGATATCGATTACATCGGAAAAGTCACTAAAAGTCGATTGGGGGGGAGGGAGGGAGAGGCGCAATCTCAAATTCGACAGTATTTTCATAAAAAGCGCCCCCGAAAACATAAAAGTAGACCCTGATATCGATTATATCTGAAAAGTTACAAAAAGTCGATGGGGGGTGGGGAGGGGGTGGTGCAATATCAAATTCGACATTATTTTCATAAATAGCGCCCCCGAAAACATAATAGTCGACCCTGATATCGATTATATCTGAAAAGTTACAAAAAGTCGATGGGGGGTGGGGAGGGGGTGGTGCAATATCAAATTCGACATTATTTTTATAATTAGCACCCCCGAAGACATAATATTCGACCCTGATATCGATTATTTCAGAAAAGTTACAAAAAGTTGATGTGAGATGGTGGGGGGGGGGCGCAATCTCAAATTTGACCGTATTTTCATAAAAAGTGCCCCCGAAAACATAAAAGTCGACCCTTATATCGATTATATCTGAAAAGTTACAAAAAGTCGATGGGGGGTGGGGAGGGGGTGGTGCAATATCCAATTCGACAGTATTTTCATAAAAAGCGCCCCCGAAAACATAAAAGTCGACCCTTATATCGATTATATCTGAAAAGTTACAAAAAGTCGATGGGGGGTGGGGAGGGGATGGTGCAATATCAAATTCGACAGTATTTTCATAAAAAGCGCCCCCGAAAACATAAAAGTCGACCCTGATATCGATTATATCTGAAAAGTTACAAAAAGTCGATGGGGGGTGGGGAGGGGGTGGTGCAATATCAAATTCGACAGTATTTTCATAAAAAGCGCCCCCGAAAACATAAAAGTCGACCCTGATATCGATTATATCTGAAAAGTTACAAAACGTCGATGGGGGGTGGGGAGGGGGTGGAGCAATCTCAAATTCGACAGTATTTTCATAATAAGCGCCCCCGAAAACATGGTGCATATTGGTAATTTTTTTATGTTATTTCAGAACAATGTTATTTCTGAAATATTTATTTCTTGATTTTATGCAATAATTTATTTATGAAATAAATAATCCTGAAATAATAGTTATGAAATAATTTATTTAAGAAATAACTGATTTCGAAATAATTTACATTATTCCAAAGAATATTAAAATAGTGAAATAATTATTTCAGAAATAAATTCAGAGTTATTCCATCGAGATTATTTCGTTGACTGTTTGAAATATTATTTCAGAAATAACCGTTATTCCCGAAATAATTCATTCGTGGAATAACCATGTGAATTATTTCAGAAATAAATTATTTCAAGAGTGCCCAGGTCTAGTCTAAACAATGGGATAAACAGGCCAACGATATTTTTGTATTTTTTCTTGATTTTGAGATCAAATTATATTACGATTCAAGTGGAAAGCAAATTGGTCTTCAGAGGTTCTATTAACACCTCATTAAATTTTGACATATGTATCGTTCTTGGAATTGAAAATGTCCCTTTTTTGAGAATTTTGTAGATAAAAAAGTTGTGGATTACAGTAAATTCAGGAAGTCATGTCAACGAAAAAAAGCATGTCTGTACTGCGAGCTATAAAGATTACACCAGATATATATAAATATATAAATGTTTTGTTTGTCAACTCATTTGTTATGTTAATCGTTCTGCCGATCAGGGCTAACAGATGGATATACTCACGGTGTGACGAACCATCGCCTAGGTCCTACCACGGCCTGGTCTCTGTTAACAACATCCTCTACATCATCGGAGGCTTCGACGGCAGCGTGCACTTCAGCACTGTCAGGTCCTTCAATCCTATGACGAAGCAGTGGAAGGACCGGGCTTGCATGAACTATCCTAGGTGCTACGTCTCCTGTATTGAGTTGGGTAAGTCATTGCCCAATCATGGAAGTCGTTATTTCTGAGTTAATCTAAAAATAACTAAACGTTATCGATTTCTAGGTGGGGAAATATACGCTATCGGCGGTTATAATGGAAGGTCTAGAATGAGTTCGGTTGAAAAATATAACGTAGTTTTGAACCAATGGGATATGATTCAACCGATGGCCAAACAAAGGTCAGATGCGGGAGCTGTTGCCGTCGATAACAAGGTAACCGTGAAGGTTATATCATTCATTTGATGATTTAAACAATACCGCATTGCTGATTAATATTACATTCATTTTAGATATATGTTGCCGGAGGTTTTAATGGCCAAGACGTTCTGACATCAGTAGAAATGTATGATTTGGCAACAAAACAGTGGACATTGATAGCGAACTTGAGAACCCCACGAAGTGGTGTTTCACTCTGCTTCTTCAGGGGATATGTTTATGCTATTGGTGGATTCAGTGGATACCAACGTCTTGCAACAAGTGAATTACCATGCTGTATTTTCATTTATATGCTATGTTTCACCATGATATATTACTGTACAATTGTCATTCAACTTTTGATAGCACAAGTTTTCATGATCACACCATAAATAGAATCTCGAAATGATCGAGCGTATCCGAAAGTAGACAGAAGAGACTAACCGTATGGTAAAGCCCTGACTTTTACTGAAAAGAACCCGTTTGGGGGTCTGTTTGTCCCTTTTGAGCTAGTATAGTGAGCAGACGACGAAAGCAGCGAAATAATTAATCAAGGCACCGACTTAACTGAAAAAGAACAGTAGGGAATTAGCTGAAGTCGTAAATCGCGATCTAAATAAAAGGAGGTTGTACAGTGAATATGTTATCAATCCTTGACTATTTTGCGCAATCCCATTTATATCGTGATCATGGAATCTTGGTACACTGATTAAAGTGGGTTGACACTTAAACAGTGGTACCTTCATTAGAACACATAAGTTTCATGTTATTCATAAGAATATGAAAAACTTTAACAATTTTTTTCTCTAAAAATTTCACTTAAAATGAAATTCAAATTTTGAGAAATTCATTATTTTTTGTGCCAGTAAACTGTTTTCTTCTTCAGGTGAAAGGCTCAATATCATGAGAGCAACCTCTCAAGGTGAGTGGTTACAAGACGTTCCACCAATGTGCTCACCAAGGAGTAACTTCAGCTGCTGTGTTCTTGAAGATCAGATATTTGTGATTGGAGGATTTAATGGTAAAATAATAATTGGGTTTATTGATTTATCCTTGATGTAACATAGATTATAAGATTATTTGTTTGAAAAACGGCCTTATCCATTCTCTAAAATTTTACAGAAGATACAAATCTTAAAAATTTTATGTAATATTAATAAGTATTCTGGATTCGAAAGCCTGGTCTAAATAATAATCATAAATAATCAAAAAACTTTAAGAATTTTTGGTTTATAAACAATATCAGATGTGTCCATCCCCCGAAGGTCAATGATGCCTGAAACTTCCTCCGTCCCAAGATATTTTACAGTACTCCTCTTTTTGAAAACAGTGCAAATAATATTCAAATTTAAAAAATCATTATGATACATAATTACAGTTGCTGCGGTCTGTCCCATGTTTTCCGCTTGTCCACGGGGTTGGAAACCTTTCTTTGCGGAAATTTTTTACCCTTACGAAATGTGCTCCTCTCAAAAAATCACTACCCCCTCAAAATGTTACCCATCGAAAATTTTGATAGCGCTTGCGTCATACATCCCCTTCTGGGCATCACTGAACAATATCATAGTTTTTCCTTGAGGTGCCTTTATCATGTTGGCTGCCATTTCGGAAATACTATGTTTTTTTAACTGTTTTGTTTTTAATGAAATATATCAACACAATTTATTTTTTCGTATAGGTTTTGTTAATTTTGAATATTCATAGGCAATTCTACCACATCATTGACTGAAATGTATGATGGCCAAAAATGGTTTCCTGCATGCCCGATGAACATGAACCGATCAGCGCTGGCAGTCTGCGTTTGCCACGGTCTTCCTAATTCGATTGACTACTGTCTACTCCATAAAATGATAGGAGAAAGAATAAGCGCGATGGGATGAAACGAACTCTTTCCAGCACCGAGTAAGTTATCTTATGATTTCGATTTCTCATATCATGTTTTCAATTTGGATTATCAAACTAACCTTTCACTGTTATTTCAGTGTCTGATGTAAATTAATGCCGCAGTTTTATGCAGCATTGCTGAATTTAATTTGGTGTAAAAATGTAACTAAAACACTGTAAAGTGAATGGATTGACAAAGGAACGAGGAAAGTGAATAAAACGAAAAACGATACCATAAAAGTAATAAAAAAAAAACATGTAACAGTAACGATTTTTGTCCTTGATTCAATAGATTAATATTACTAAACATTACAGTAAGTAGTCTTGTGTATATTAGTTGATTAAAATAGATTAGGAAAGGGAGACCAATGATAATTGTTGATTGAACAATTATTGAACATAATAAATCATTGAAGAATTTATAAAACACCTTTGTTGTTTGTTTATTCGGGGTTTAACATCTTGATTAGTCCTGCCAATTGTGTATTATTTTCCAATTTTGGATATTTTTTTACTCATTAGATCTTTTTTTACTTGTTTAGTTGAATAATTTCGTGTGAAATGGCATAATAGTGTTACCTGACTATTAATTAAACAGAATATCGTAACAAATGACGTCAGAATTCTGCCATTCGAAGAGTAGTTCCAATATAATCCTTGTTATCTCAGTGCCTCTATCCAAGAAGATAGGAATTAGCTCTTTGCCCAAGATGCATATATTTCTATTTACCACCGACTAAATAATTCTGTTTATACAATTCAAAATAATTGGAACTTATCATCTGTTCTAAGATTTGTGATTGTTTTTTTCGTCCTCGTCTTTTAGGTTATACAAGGCTTTCCTGATCTAGAAGGTGAGGACGAGTGATCAATGCTAGACTTAAAAGCACCTCGTCATCAGGACGCGAACTCGTAATTATTTTATCAAATTAAAGTAAGGATGCAAAGGGGGCTGTACAAACATCAGCCCGTATGGCCACTCCGCCTCCCAAGAAGATTTCTGAGACATTACAATTTGTAATTTTAGAGGAAAACCAGTTGAAATTACGGTTTAGTAATTTTTGTTGAGTTGTTGCTTTCGGGCTGAAGTCCCCTAAAATGAAACACTTATAATTTTTTCATTTGTCTATATTTATTTCTATACTAAATCCTTCAACAATCATGATATGTAATATTTTTAAATTATAACATATATAAATATATAGCTACTAAGTAAGTACATGATAAGATTTTATTTTTAAAAGTAGATTCCGCGTAAACGTATGTTAATTACTGGTAGCATTGGTGGATAGTTCTTAGAAAGATGTGTAATTTGAGATTAATGGGAAAGTAATTCTATTGTGGGTCATCGGCAACACTGGTTGTTGGCAGCATTGATATTTAAGTAGCCAAACTAGAACTTGATGGACAGGCTTGAAATTGAGAATTGGGATCATATAGGGATATTTATACTCTAATGCCAACAAATAAGTAAGTTAAAACTTATATGTAGCTGTAAATGTACATTAAAAGTGTTAAAATAGTATAATGTAAACAAATCTGAAGTCAATTTTATTCATATTTCTTTAGCATTTTTTTTTTTTTTGTTAAAAAAGTATATGTTCTATTTAGATTCTCTGTTCAAATCATCTTCATTTTCACTGAAATCATTAGAATGTATGCTGCCTTCAATATCTGTTTCCAGCCCTTTCAAAGTCTCTCCTGTGCCTTAAAAATAATAAATATTTCTGTTTCATTATATATTTTACACCTGTGAATAATATTTTTTCTAATAATTATGTTATCAATAATATGTATTTTTATTGATATTTCACCAATTATTAGTTTCTCTGTTGTGAGTAACATGAGCCCCTTTATAAATTTGTGAGATAATCTTTTATTAATTACAAAATTCATATCCATTTCTCTTAATTTTGATTTTTTTATAAAACTCATTTTTACTTCATATGCATCCTTATTTTGGCAAAATGTTGTTCCCTTACCTATTCTTACATAAGTATTTTAGTTTTTTTTTTTTTAATCACAGGATATTTTATTATAAAAATAATTCTTTATAGTAGTTATTGGATTTAACTTTATATAATGAGTTAATAATAATATAATAATCAGAACTTACTCATTTTGATAACGTTTATTGTATGAGCCTACATTTTAGCAAATTATGTGAGCCATTTCCATGGTTAAAAATAAAATTAGGGATACATGAAAAATATAAGGAATAATAGACAAAATATGTAGGTCTGTAATACCAACAGAAAAAAAAATTAAAAAATTGTTATTAAGGCTATAAAAGTTGGACTGTAATAATTACTTAGAAATTATGATTGTACAATAATCATAAATAACTCATAACATTATAATGATTAAATTATGTTAAGAAGATGGTTAAATACAGAAATGATGAAAAGCTATAATCAAATGATATAAATAACAAATGGAAAAATTTTGACTGATTAAGTGTTTGATTCTGTGTCCCACTTTTAGCCTTACATTCATAATTCATTATTAACGATATCTTTCTTGTATTTCTGATTTTATTATTAGGCCTGAAAGTGAACCACTTGATTAGGGTTGAAACATTTGCCTGTGAAATAAACATTATAAAGATAACAGGCCTAATTATTAGTTGATTGGTTGTTTTGACGTTTGGGCACAAAACATCCAGGTCATGAGCGAGCAATCAACTAAATAATACTACTTTCAAACTATTTAGCTGGTAAGTTAAAGAAAAAATAAATAAACAAACTTTAAAAAAACAAATAAGAAATTAGAAAGAAATTATCAATAGAAAGAATAATAATTTTTTTTTTTAAAGTAAAAGATCAGGAGAAGATAATTAGGTATAATTGTGTTAAATATATTTTATAAGACTTTCTTTGTGTAGGAAATTTATAACTTTAGTTACTTCTCCCTCCTGGATTCCTAGGGATGCTGATATATTAAGGGATATTCCAAATTCTTTTAGCCTTGTGAAGTAAAGTAGACTTTCTTCTAAAACATGCTTTATAGATAATATCTGTTGAAATTGTTGACACCTGCAGATGAAATCATTTGAAATGTGAGATGTGTCAGTATGGTATGACTGATCCTCAGCCACGTGAGAAAGATTTCTTCTCTACGACTGCTATGTTTGGAACTGCCGCTTATTGCCATCTAATGATTTGTTACTCTTAAAAATAATCATATGATAAACTATAAAAGTTCTATTCTGATAAATAACTATTCACCTCGTTGATAGGATGGGTCACATATTTTTAGTCTCTGTTTCAGGTAATCACAATGTGCACTTAAGTTGTTTATTTGTCTTTCAAGTAGAATCATTTTTTCTTTCATAATAACTTCTTCTTTTCTTTTGCTGTCCAGCTGTAAATGAAAAATTATAGCATTTGTATATTATCTGAAGCATAATCTTATGAATTGACTTATCTTGTTCTAAATGAATTATAAATAACTGTCTATTAGTGTGTCATTTAGGCTGTTTAGAAAACAATAATTATTTTAGGAGTTTAAAAATACTTGTTTGTTTTTTGATAGGAATAAATTTGTTGGGAAAATCAGATATAGCAGAGTTATATCAATTTCTCAAATGTACATTTATAGTTACTTAATCTTGATATACACTATTGATTTTTCATAACTTTGAGTTTCATGTTTTACTTGACTTCATTCTTTTTTACTGCGTATTCTGTGTTTTGATCAAATTTAAGATCTCAGAAAATCCTGCTATTTATAGATAGATAGATAGAAAAAAAAACTTTATTCTGGGACTAAGTCCCTTTAGAATAACAAAAAGAAAATACTACTACTGGCCAAAACATTTGAAACAATAAATAAAATTTTAAAAATAAAGAAAACCCTTAGATGAACAAGCTATATACACAATACAGATAAAACTATGTACAAAACACTTAACACTATGAACAAAACACTTAAAACAATAAAAAAAACACTTAAAACTATGAACAAAACACTTAAAACAATAAACAAAACCCTTAAAACTATGAACAACACTGTATATTATGGTTGAACAGCATAAACATACACTTTGAGAAATGAAGAACGAAAAAGAGACAACATAGAAAAAGTTCATTTCATAAAAAAACTTTTCTTGTATATATATAAAAAATTAGTTATAATTGAATAAAAAATATATATAATAAAAAAACATAGATGTATTGAGTGGCGTCAAAAGTAGGAAATACATGTACTATCCCTTACACTCAGTATTATCGTATGATTGCACGACTGCTACGCAATACATACATAATGTTAATAGCTAGCTGGTATCTGACTGTTTTTAGTACAGGAATTGGAATAGGAGGTTTTTGATTGTAGATACGGAGGAAGCATGCCAAATTTTGATCGAGAAGAAATTCCGGAAGTTGACAATGCTACAAAGGAGTTTTGGAATAAGGCAGATCTATGAGAAGGGATGTATGAAATGAAAATGAAATGAAATGAAAAAATAATTTTATTCTGGGACTATTGTCCCCTAAGAATAATAACAGAGTTACAAATTAATGTATCTTAGTCTGACATAATAAAAATACCAACTAATTTATTATTAATTGTTATTTCAATTGTGCAATGGATTGAAATTAAACATTGTATAGATGCAAGAAATTTTACATGTTAGGGGAAGTTTGAATGTGGAGTAGGTGTTGGAATAGGAGTTGTTTGAAGAAATTTGTGGATGAGGATTGATGCATGGAGGTAGGAAGTGAGTTCCATAAGGAAGTAGCACGAATGACGAAGGATTTGCTGAAGGAGGAAGTTTTATGGGAGGGAATATATAAGTCTATAGGTTAAGACCTAGTATTGAGAGAGTGGATAGAGGAGCGCAGAGTAAGGAGTTCCAGGATGTAGGGAGGGTTTTTGGTTCTGAAGACTTGGAAAAGGAAAACGCCAAGAAGGAATTGTCATCGGGAAGTAGGATAAAGCCACTTCAACTCGGTGTACCATAGTGAAACATGTGAACACCTGGGGATCCCGAAAATGTATCTTATGAAACAATTCATGAGTCTTTTTAGTCTCATTTCCAGCCTGGCAGATAGCCCTCCATACACCAATAGCCGTAGTCGAAGTGAGGGAATACAAGGGAGGTTATAAGGAGCTGTCTGGTTTTTAGAGGAATACAATCACGGAATCTTAGGAGTTGTTTAAGGGCAGTTATGGATTTTCGGGTAATCTGGGAGATATGATTATCCCAGGAGAGGTTCTGGTCATAGGTTACTCCTAGGTTTTTGACTGTAGGAAAAAAATGGATGGGATGGTTATTGAGGTAAAGTAGAGGAAAGTAAGGAAGGGAGTTGATGAGATGTCTGGACCCAATGATAATAGCCTTGGTTTTATCTGCATTCAGCTTTAATTCATTTATTTCTGCCCATCTGTTGATACAGTCGATGTCCTCTTGTAGCCTCCGGGCAGCCTCAGGCATAAGAATAAGAAGATAAGATAAGAAGGATAGGAACCATTTTAGGACGCTATTTGACATGGGCAGGCTTTGGAGTTTGGAAAGAAGGATCTCATGATTTAACGGAATCAAACGCCTTGGAAAAGTCAAAGAGAATTAGGATGGAGATTTTCTAGTATTAGGATGTATAAGTCAGAAGGTCGAAATCTTGTGGTGAGGGAATGGATTAAGGAATTAAATAGGAGTAGGTTGTTTCCTTATAATATAAGGAAAAGAAAAAGCCCCTACTTTACACTGTTTTATTTATTTTTTTTAATGAAAAAACAAAGCCAAGTTTATAGATTTGTTGGGAGAATTCCCAAACTTTTATATAAGGACTTGGGAATTGATAGTTGTACAATGAAAAGGTGTCTCCATCAAAGACAAAAAACACTAAAAATAATAAACAAAATAACTAAAAAAAAAATTGTTAACAATCATATTCCTAAATAACAGGATCTGCATAGAAGGAAAATCATTCCTGAGAGCAGAAAAAATTCCAAGACCTTGGGAAAAAAGAATGACCAACGGCTAGAAATAGACCTGCGCAAACAGAGTTTTCTTCTCCCTTTCAAAGGTATAGAAATCCTGAAAAAATCTCAAGAAATATCAAATTAAGAGTATAAAATCTATGATAAAGCCAGCTCTAATATATGGCTATGAGACCTGGACACTAACCAGCATCCTCGAAAAAAAGTATTGAGAGTTTTGAGAGAGAAAAATCCTCTTCACGATAACCCGGGCTATCTGGGATCAGAGTAGTAACATATGGAGAAGAAGACCGTTGAAGAGCTGCTTACAGAAACTGGTCGATCAATATCCCTTAACATTAAGGCATGGAGTATTAAGATGGGCAGGGCATGTAGCTTGAATCAATCCATCTGGAAGCTTCTGCATAATAATGAATGCCTCAATAAAATTCAAAAGATTCCTTGGAAGACCAAAGAGCAGGTAGGTAGATAGAATCAACAAAGATGCAATTGAACTGCATGCAGATAACTTGAAGAAATAGCCCAAGATAGGCAGAGATGGAGTAGGCTTTTTAAGATGGTAACAGATCTAAAAGGTTTGTAATGCCAACAGAAAAAAAAAAAAGGAAAACATTTAAGAAAAAAATTCTCTTTGAAAATTCAATGAGGAACACAAAGTTTCTTTTTTTTATTATTCCTTTTCCAATGAAATAAAATTTCAGAAAAATACATCAAGAAAAATTTATATTAAAAAGAGCACAGGGCTGATGAATAGAGACGATTGGCAAAAGAAAATTATGAAGAAACTTTAGTGGTTGCGGAAATCATAATGTTACCTCTTTTCTTATGTTTTTACAATCTTCTTGTAAATTATTAAAAGATTCTACCATTTTTTCATTTTCTTTAAGCCTTTCATTCAATAGTTGGTTACTTTTTTTGAATTTGTTTATTTCTCTTTCTTGTATTTCTAAAGATTTGAGTTGCTCGTTCATAGTCTTTTGTTGAGATCTTGATTCGTTCTCCATATCTTGAACTCTTTTATTCATTTGTGATATTTCACTATGAAAGGAAAGAATATGAAAATTATAAATTTATATGATTTTTAAATTCTTAATTTTAGAAATTACTGGGGTCCATCTACTCAGATTAATAGTTTTTCAGTAAAACTGATGAAATATTCACACAGATATAATAAAAATACATACATATGTATATTTTCTCATTGAAAATTTTAAGATGATTTACTGATAAATCTTATTCAATTACTAATCATGCTAAGAATCATCAAGCCCATATTCGTTTCTCTGTTATATATGAAATAAATAATAAAATGTTTATTATAGGAATGCAATTACATTAAACAGTTAATGCATATTGTACAATAAATTAATAACTTTTTTTATTATTTAAATAAATCACTAAAAGTAAATTTTGTCTGTCACAAATTCAAGTTTATTTATTAACTGGACTTAAATCCACTTATGAAGGGGTTGGGATGACAATGTTTAAATCAATTTCGCTTTCTATTCAGAAAGTGAATGTGTTTTAATCTTGTACATCATAAAGTATATTCTATGTTCTTAAATAATATACATATATCTTTAAAGTACATAAATAAAACATTAACTTCTTTTTTGACAATAACCAAAAGTCATTTAAAAATTTTGGTGACATTAGGACTTCAATTTTTTGAAAAAATTACCTTTATTGGGATACTAATGCAATAGAAAGTGAGGATAAACGTCTCCCTTGAAATGGGTCTGTCAGGTGATGCATTAATTTTTTTTTTCATCTGAATATTGAGATTAACCCTCAAATGCTTTCTCAATAGCCACAGTTTTAAAGCCCTCTGATCTCAGTTTTTTTTTTTTTTCTGTGTCATATATATAATTTAAATTTTTACTGAACAATGAATGATAAATATGTTTCTGCAAAGATACATGATACATATATGATACAAAATAATCCTGTGACTGAGATTTTGAAATAACCCAAAATTTACTTTTTGTATGTAAATTTTACATACATACCTTTTTGTTAGTTAATAAATGGTGGTTCTTGTCGATTTATAAGACGGTTATAATTTAAGCTAAACTAAAGTATACTATATATTTTTCAACGAGTTTTTAATATATTTCTTCAGAATTTGGTTTTGTATTTTTCCTTTTGGTAGAAAACTAAAGTTTAAAATGAAAAACTGAATGTAAAAAGTAAAAACGACTTACAGTTCATATTCGGTTATTATACTGTTTGCTTCAATTATTTTAGCTTCAACTTGAGCTTCTATTTTTTTAATATTTTGTTTTTCATTTTTGGATTCATTTTTTAACTGTTCACACTTTCCTTTTATAGAAATAGAAGAAGCTTCTAAAATTGAAAATTAACGTAATTTGAATCATATATATTTACTAAAAAATAACCTACATTTAATAAAAGTATTTAAAATGTTTTGTATATACATTATCAGTATTTTTTAAAGGTTCTATTCAGGATCAGCAGTGTTTTGTTTGTATAGAATTTTGTATACTTACTGTAATCTTCAACATTATTTCTCAACTCTTGAAGTTCCTTTGTATTTTCTTCTAATTCATTTTGTAATTTTTGGTTTTTACTCTGTTCAGCTTGATATTCTTCTTCTAATTAAATATTTAGAATTTACTAATAATTACTAATAATCTTATATTATAAACTGGTTAATTATTTATTTTTTTAATATATCCTATAAGGATGTGGAATCATTTTTTATACATATCATATATTTCATTTTTCTCATATATTTTATCTTTTAAATGAAAAAAAGATAATAATATCTTATATAATGGCATTTTTAATTCTGGCTAAATTCTCATTTTTGTTTTTGAATTGGTGCTAGTGTTGATTGATAAGAATTCGTGAAAATAGATTTTTTAAATTTAATATTTCTTACTATTCTAGCCAGAAATTTAGAATTTGTTAAAATCAGATAATTGATAATTTTAATCTTAACTATTAAAAGACTAATAAATCATATCACTGTTATTTACCAAAATATTTAGCTTTAAAAGTCAATTCTTTGATTTCTTGTCTCTTCTGGTCCAATTCTGTTGTTAAATTTTTGTTTTCGATCTCCAATGCCTTATATTTTGCGTCTGCTGTCAAATAATTATTATTAATTAAAATAATTTTAATGATATTTTCCTATTATAAAAATAGGATATTTTGTTTATATTTTATTTTTTATCCTAAGGTGTTGGGTTTATTATTGGAATATTTTATTTTTACTTCTAGAAAATGATCCTTCAAGCACTAATAATTCTCCTTTGATAAGACCAAAAGAAATAATGGTAAATATTCAATTTCATTTTATATAGACATATAGATACTGGACTGGATTTATAGTAACAACTGAAGAAAATTATGGACAAAACTGCAGGATTCTGGTAGATTTTTCCCCCTCCCCTTCCTTGTCTTTCAGGCTATATGGGGTTTCCTGGGCCAGGGGTGGGAGCAGGAGATTAATGCCAGAGATTTGAAAATCTCTCTCTACTGGCACCAGGACGCAAACTTTTAATTTTTTTATCATATCATCTTCCATCTGGTTGCCGGACAACACGGTGCTGTGCACATGTGTTAGCCCATTGGAACATTCTACCTCCAATTCTAAAATATATAAGTAAAATTTATAATAACAATGATCTGCCAAAGTGACAATATCGCACAATCAGCCACCGGAGCATTAGTACTCAAATTACTAAATTTATGTTTATATTAAAGCATAGTTATAATTTATCAGGTTAACACACTTATATATACCTGTAAGGTAGTTGATACCTGCCAAATTAGATTAGTTTAAATCAATGCTCTCTATACAACTCTTCCTAAATATTAAATGGATATTTAAGAAAATAAATTTTGGGGAATAAATAAATTAGTCATAATTTATTTGTTAAGTGCAGTTTTAATTACACTTTAATTTCTAATGTGATACAAGAGAACATAAGGATTAATAATGGGTAATTTTAAATAACTATAAAATAAAAATATTAAATTTTTAATGGTATTAACTATGAATCTCAGATCATTACATATTTACTTTATGCCATTTTATGTTTATAATTATTATTCAAGTTTGCAATAAACAACTTACTTGTATTTCCATCATTTTCTCCAGATACTACTCGATTTTTCTCTGCTTCTCTCAGCCTATTTTCTAATTCTTCGTAGCGTTGCTTCTCTTTCAGTCTTTCTCTTTTCCAATTACTGAGGAGTTTATCAGAGATCTCTGTCAATTGTTCTATATCAGTTGTTAGTGCTTTGCACCATTTATTCATAGCATTCCATTCTGTCATGTCATGGACTTTGGATCTTAATTGATCTCTACAGATGAAAAATATTAAGAAAATTTTTATTTATTTTATTAAGAACCTTTTTATTAAGGAAAGGTTTATTTATGAGGGTATGATAATTATTATATTTTAATTTACAGTTAAGCAAAAAATGTAAATAACTATTATCTTCAAGTTCTTTCTATCCCATTTAATGATATATGTAATAAACAAATTGAATAGATGATTTGTTCTATGTTATATTCCATTATAATTCAGAATTTTATCTCATAAATTAATCAAAAGAAACTAATAGTACTGGTAACTAATAGTACTCTTTGTGCAGTGGAAGGGAATAAATATATTTGATAACTTATGTACATTTCATACATCCAATACACAATATTCTTCTTAGTCAGCACCTCTTGGTTATTTTTCCATAATAAGAAATTAACTTTGATTATATCTGATTCAGTTATATGAACATATTTTTTGGTTAAAACAATTTATGAAGTATTTATATGTACATATTTGTTTTATTGAACACCGAGCTTTAGTCCTATTTAGACTAAACACAGTCAAAATAGAGAAGCTGGTCTCCAAAATTGGAACATTATGAATTTTGCCTTCTTTTTGTTAAATTTTTTTCTGATTTGATTAAAGATTAAAAATATTATTCTAGTTCATCATATAGACAAACCATTTTTATTATCAGAAAATTGTCATCAATTTATATTAAATACAGTTCTCAGGCTTCCTCTATTTCAGATCTCTTCTTCCATTGAAGGAGATTCATTAAAACAGCTACAATCTGGGCTGCAAGGGCAGGTCGTGTTGACATGGCAGTCAGGAGTGCAGGGAGAACTACAATAACAAAGAGAATCAGTACAAGAACTGGGGGAACAATTGCCAGAACAATTCGGAGAGCAAGGGGAACTCAAATTTTCACAACATTCTTCTGTACAAGGAGACAAAGAATCGAACTGACACTCATTGCAGGTAGAGTTCATTTCACCGTAACAGCATTGAGAACAAGATGAGTTACTATTGCTATGATGGCTCATATTAGATGGATAGCCGTTGGATGAATTATCCTGCGAACAGGAAGAAGGTCCACAACTATCTCCTGGATGGAGGTTAGCGTTGACAGTTCTGGAGCCAGAGAAAGCAGTATCTGTTGTTTTCTCATTACTTTCTCGTTTAAGTAGTCTATAATTCCTTCGCATTCCAAATCTGATATTGAAGTGCTTTCTGCGTTGTTTGTGTTGCCTATTCTTCTGTAAATGTTGATTTAAACTAGATGATTTGTGATTTGTATGACCTTTTCGCTTCAGTTGTTTGCATGTTGCAGTTTTATGAAGTTTACCTTCTCTTGTCCGTTTTGTTCTTTTTGTACATCGGGACTTTTGAACAATTTCCATCGGCGCTCCCTGTGTTGAAATGGCAGTGTTTGTTGTATTTGCGTCATCCTGTGTAATTTTGTAAGATGAAGATGAAGGAACCTCTTCTTCTGTGGGAAAAGAGTGTGATTCAACGTTGGTTGTTCGTGACACTGGATCTGATCTAGTATTTATTGTTGATATGAGAGGTGATAATGAAGTTTTTAGATCACCTTCTTCCTTTCCTGAAGTGTTGGCTTGATTTATCTCCTCCATTTCTATTTCTATCTATTTATTCTTCAACTGCGTGTTGATCTATTACATAAAAGATTTTTTTAATAATAAAAATATATTATGTTTCAATGAAAAATATAAGACTTTTATAATAGTTGATTGTTTTGTTCATATCATGAATGATTTTGTCTATCGAATTTTTTTAATTACTGATTCACATTTTTGATACTTAAATATAGTGTCTATTCCTAATATTAAGCTATTCACTAGAAGTCAATGGTTTTCGATAAAAAAAAAAAAAAAATTAATTTACAAATTTTATAAGCACACTTAAATAAGTTATAGTTAATTTATAAACTTAATTGATTCTTCTAGTTGTTCTGATAGTTTTATTTTAGATCCTTTGAAACTACATATTAAATAATATAGTTTATTATTTAAAATTTTTCTTTAATTAATTTTAAAATAAATTAAATGAAAAACATAATGAAATCCTTGACAATATATTTTTGTCTTTCTACTTATGAACTTAAAGATAGCAGAATTTGGTTGAGAAAGGGAGAGTTGCAATTAGTAAAGAAAAAATACACAAACAAGTGAACCTATTTTAAAGTGTGCGTTTGTTTCAGCCTAAGTTCTAGGCCTTCATCGATGTTAAGAATTAAATTAAAACAAATCACAACAAATAAATTAAAACAAATCAATAACTTGTAAAACCTTTACACCTTAGGTCCTTTTAGAAGGCCAACTTAGGTGTTATATTAAACTATTTAATTATACTTATATTAAAACAAGTTTACTTATGAGAGTGATTTTTCATTACTAACCGTTCACTGCTATAAATTTCTGCTGCAATTATTTCTACGATAAACCATACCTCCACCATTATGAATACTTACTTTGTGTTAAGAACGCTGCTTTCTGTTATCTCATGAGTAGAACAGAACAACTCCACTTTGGACACCAACTCCTTCACTACTGACTGAGAAAGGTAGCAACTCTCACAAGCAGTCAATGAGAGAACTAATGTCTGTGTTTCTGTGCTCGTTTTGTTCCTTTCGCTTTCTTCTACTATAGTTGACAGCTCCTACAATAATTTCATGGAGATTAAGAAGCTGTAATTGTACAGTTACAAAATTAGAAAGTATTTTCAAATATTTTTGTCAAAATTATGGTAGAAAAATATACTTTTTTTTCCCCATAGTTTCTACAGTAAATGAAAACACCTATGGGCAGAACCCCCTTCATAACTGCATAAACTAGCAGTCTCCTTTAAATTTATCTCAGTTTTACTTGTAGAACTTTTAGCGCTTGTGTATATATGTGTTATCTAGGGGCAAACTTAACATAATATTACTGTTAATTACAATATATCTTCTATCACAGGCAGATAGATCTACAGGATGGGAAGGCTTTCGTGCTGAAGACCCGTTCCTTCCCCCCTTCCCTCCAATGGTAAAATTTAACCATGTCTTATGAAAAAAATATTTAAAAATTACCTCTAAAAATATTATTGTTAAGTACTTTTAATAGTACTTAAAAAATCACAAGAAACACTATTTCATATAGGTAGTTAGTTTCTTTCTTTTTCTTCCTAAGGAATTATCGTTATATATTTAAAAAAATCTTTCGGACTGAAGCTACCTAAAATCCTGGATCCGCTAGTGTCTTCAATAATGTTTTTGGTAGCTGATCAAATAAATTTAATTATATATACAAACCCGAAAAAAAGTGATTATGATTCTTAACTTGAATGAACTTTGTAAGTCAATAGATATTGAATTTTACTGTTTATTATTAAATTAAATCTTTTAAACATAAATAATCCCAGTAGCTAAATGTATCTTATTTTAGGAGCCGACTTATGAAAATTATTGGAGGGTCATATTATAATATCACGGGGTAGGGAACCTGGAAGGGTGGGGATATAGTTTGGAATATATCCTATATGCAATATATAATATATGCCTATATGGAAAATTACCATCTCATGCAGTTATTGAGTTGTTTCAAGCCCTTCCTGATGATGAAAAATTGTTGTCACTCAAAATACATTAAACTAAAACAGTACAGTATTTTAATCGATGATTCCTTTTAGAGTTTAGGTGTGGCTTTATCCAAAATACGATACCGTTAAAGAAATTCTACTATACCTACTAGTAGATAGATACTGTCATTTGTAATGGAACTGTAATGTACACGATTGATTTGTTCATGAAGTTCATACTGTAGCAATTTGTTGGAGGGAGCTGAGCCTCCACAACGGCACAGTTGGGGGACTCAAGCCCCACTAGTCTCTAATAATCGGTGGCTGTATATCTTATGATATATCTGAATTGAATATTATCTGAAATTCATTTGTAAAAACTAAAGGACAAATGGCTAAAAAAAAAGTTTCTTCAGTTAAGATTGTTTTTTACAGACAGTATTTTTATAAACATTATGTTTTCAACTTGAACTGATGGCATTTAGATAAAAGTTAAGTATTTCTGCGTGAACGTTATTTCTTCTCAACCTGATTAATGTAAGGAAATATATAATTATATTGCAATATAAAGTCTGTTGGTAAAACAGTCTTCACTTTTTTCGACTCCAATATGCTTTAAAGTTTGTCCCTACACTTTGTACTATCCATCATGACTGTAAAACTATTTACTGAAAGCAATATTATATAGTTACAGGTATATAAAGTGTATTTTATTCAATAATCAAATTAATTGGAAATTGCAACTAAGATTCACAGCCAGTATGAGATAAACAAGAAAAAACAATATACAATAATAGTTTAAAAAATGTAAACAATGCAATAAATAAAGATAAAAGAATAAATAAACTTCTTAATTGTTTTTATTCTTCTTTTATCAGTAATCCTCTCATAAAGAAATTTTTCATACTTGGTTCTTATCTTGTTTGTTGTCCTGAAGGCCTTCTAGGAGGTCTGAACTTGGAGAATTGATTATTATCATTTTAATTTTCTATTTTTACTTTCACTTATTATATTTGTAAAATATAGTAGTGGAGAGTATTGCGGTTGTTTTGAGGTTCCTTGAGTCCAAATAACCAAATCCTGCAAAATAGTCTGTGTGAACAGTCTAGCTCCACAATGAAAAGTCGTATGTAACTGAAATTACGTATTCAAGGTTTGTACATGTTTAGGATGTTACGGCACTTTTTCATAAAAAAAATCGGCTAACCGGAAATAAAACTTTACATCATCGATTTCGCACATTTTTACAATTTTCTCAAAAATGGCTCTAACAGTTTTGATTAAATTCATTATATCAGTATAAAATTAAGCGTTTTTTAATATAGCGTAGGCCTTATTCTCATTGATGTTCTCTGATAGGGTTTAAAATTTCAAAATTTCTTTCTGTAAAGTACCTTTAATATTTTTGAATTTGAAATAATTAACCATTTCACGTTATAAACTGATATAAAAAATTGTTAAATATATAGTCCGTGGTACAGACCTCTTTTTATCGAATTATTAACATCCGGCTGAAACTTCGTAGAATAACTTCATCTCATAGCAACCTACAATTATTTTATTTTTGAAAATTCTCGGCATTGGGGCTTTTTCAATTCAAACTTTCTCTATTTAATTAGGTAGTAAAAACTCGTAAATACCCATTTTCTTTCCGCTTTGATCGTAAGATATCTTGATCACAAAGTCGAGAAAAATGGTGGCTTTCAAAAATATTGAGCCGTTTGGCCTATATAACCTCGTTATTTTGAAAATTTGGGGGTGTAGGTCACGCCAAACGGCTGAATACTTTTGAAGGCCACCTTTTTTCTCGACTTTGTGCTCAAGTCATCTTACGATTAAAGTGGAAAGCAAATGGGTATTTACGAGGTTTTAGTACCTTATTAAATAGAGAAAGTTTGTCGATCTTCATATTTTTAACGCACCAATTCCGAAAATTTTCGTAAATAAAATAGTTGTAGGTTACGATGAGATGAAAATATTTACGAAGGTTCAGCCTGATGTTAATAAATTGATAAAAAGGGGTCTGTATTTCGACCTATAATGAATGAAGAAAATTGATTGGTAACTAAAGGAGAAATAAGGGTTGGCAGCTGTTCGGAAACAGCCGAGAGTATCCGATCTTTACCGATCCCCTTCCTTTACAGGTACCCGACACCTCTCTGTACAGGGCTTTCATATTATTAGTTTAACTTTTATATGAGTTATCTGAAATTTTTTAAAAAGGTTTTAACACGAAATGTTGAGCATCTACTTATATGAACCATATATTTTCATACATACTATATCCACACAGTCACACTAGCGGATCCAGGATTTAATTTTGGGAGGAGACTTCAGCCCGAAAGCTTTTTTTTTTTAAATAAAAATAACGATAATTACTTTGGAAAAAAATAAATAAACTAACTACCTATATGAAATGGTGTTTAAGTGATTGCTAAAGTCCTTTTAAATGTGATTACACGAACAATAATACTTTAAGAGATAATGTTTAAATATTTTTTCCCTAAAACATGGTTATACTTTACCATTTTGGGAGGAGGGCTCTAGCCCGAAAGCCCCCTCCCCGTAGATCCGTCCGTGTACAGTCATAAAAGGAAAGGGAAAGTGATGCAAACAAACAGATTCGATGGATGGAAGACATATGGTAAAAAATCGTTTTAAATGAAGTTATACCGTCAGTTTTATCTTTTGATTTCTCCATATATGAAAATACCTATCTACTTTAAGGTTGATTAAAGAAAGTTGTGTGATGCGCGTATCGCACCAGTTTTTTTTTTTTTTTTTTTTTTAATTTCCGCCACTGAGTAATATTAGGATCAAATCACAACTGGAAGTAGTTAAACAATTTTTCATATGATATATTCATTTAGAAACTTGTTTCCCAATCATTGTTTAGTAAAATTTGTAATTTTTTGAATGGTTCAAAAAAATAAATGAATTGATGATTCCTCACTCCATAGTGCTCTGTACTATTCTATGAGACACGGGAAAAAATACGGGGAGAAAAATATAACGATGTTTTATGGAAGATTATATTAAAAAATTATCTCTTAAAGTATTATTGTTCGTGTATTTACATTTAAAAGGACTTAAGGAATCACCTAAACACCATTTCATATAGATAGTTAGCTTCTTTCTTATTTTCCAAAGTAATTATCGTCATTTTTATGAAAGAAAAGCTTTGGGGCTGAAGACCTCCTCCCCCCCACCCCAAAAATTAAATCCTGGTGCGCTAGTGCTATGAGAGAAGCTGTAAATTTAGCACTATTGAGAAGTAATATGATGGATAATCTCGATATATACATTTTTTTTTTAATTGATCAATGTATCTCACGTAAGTGATCCATTTTAAGAGTATTACTGTTCTGCTTAGGCGTTTATTTTTTTAAATAAATTAAACAACCATCAGAAATGATCAGTCCAGGATGAAATCGTATGGTATTAAAGATAAATAAGTAAAATATTTACTATTTGTTTTCATAATTTTTTAAAATATATTCACTTCGAATCATTGGCTTTCACAGCATTAGGTATTTTCGATTAAGATATTTTGTGGACTCAAATTGAAAATCTAGTAACACCAGCCATGTATGGTAATTTAGTTAACCTATTAATTCGAACAAACTATTTTGAAATGATAATGCAATCAATTTTGAAGCAATAGTTGAAATAGGTTACCATAACCTCATAGTCCACTTTTACTATCTTTAATGTCGCAGCCAGTCACAGTTTATAATACGCCTTCACGGCCTTTAAACATTTAAAATACTATTATTTTTTTAAAAATTAAAACTAACATAATAATATATGTAATTTTGTTGATGTAGACACAAATGCGTAAAGTAAAGAATTAGCTAATTTTCAATGGTGTGATAATAGAAAATAATGGCCCTACAAAATCAAATCTAAAACTATGTAGATATTATAACCGGACGTTGGGTGATTTTGGATAAAATGGTAATATCGTAATCAGTTATCTGTGGTATTATTGGTTACTAATGTATTATTAGTCTATTATCAATTTCTTTCATAGTTTATACTAATTTTTTTTTCAATAATGAACCATTGTAATCGAACAAAAAATTCAAAAACTTAACCCTCTCTCAAAATTTGAGGTTGAACGAATAAAAATTCTTTTGTCCGTACGTCATCCGCGCATTTTCTCCGAAACTACTGGACCGATTTTTTTCAAATTTGGATTTAAAATTAGAGGTCACCCGAGGATAACCCTCCTTCATCGACATTACTATTCGTCTTTTACTTTCAAAATGGTGGCCGAAAAACCTGTGATGCGATAGACTGTAGCGTCTAAACGAATGAACCGATTTCAATGAAACTTGGCTAAAGTCTTCTTCTTCATGTCCTTTGTCTATTTAACATAATTCAACGAAAAAAAGCTGAAAAAAAAGTTACGAGGGATGATGGAATTAGATTCCGAATAACTCAAAAAGTTTACACTTTTTTTATTGATATTGTATATGTTTTTTTTTAAGTTTACTAAATTTTCTAAAAAGAAAAAAAAAATCGTTGAAATCGGATAATTAGGAGCAAAGATATAGTCTCCAGATATTTTTTATGTTCTTCTGCAAATCCTTTGTTTTGGATTTTGATTTTTTAATGTGTTACTGAAGTAATGTTTTTTTTTTTGTTTTTTTTTGAGCAAATTGCTAATGATGAAAAAAAATGTTCAGACAAATAATTGTAATTAACTTTTTGTTTCTTTTAGTTTTTCACTAGATTGGTAAAGTTACTATAGATGTGTAAATGTTGGGAAATAATAATCCGTTGTGAAATAATTTGTAGGTTTTTTTTTTTTGCTGACAATGAGGGACAGTTAGTTATTGGTTAATCAAAATTAGCCACAGGATTATCGCAGCATACCACACAAAATGGACGTAAATTTGATTAGAACAGAATACTAACAAACGAAGAATAATTGAATCAATATTAATTGCTAAAAACCTCAAGAAATCGGTAAATCAACAGACAGATGTGGATAACTTTAATACTTTTATTGCTAGCTCAGTAGATAAAATTAAAATATAATATACTGATATATAACAGATAAAACAGCTGATCCCTAACCCCTCCACCCCACTCCTTTTTAAATAAATCCAGTTCTGTATGCCTTAGTGAGGAGCAACATTTTTCTTAATATCGTCTGCGAAAGAGGTAAATAAATTGAGAACAAATAATGTTGTTTTTTAAAAAAAAATTAATATTCTATTTTAATTAATTAGTTATTTATTACAACTTTTTAGAAGTGAAAAAACGACGTTCTATGAAAAAAAAGAATGACTAAAAGACGATTTATATTGTAATGATAGATTTTAGAAATTTTATGAATTGGTGCATGGTAGGTAGAAGATAAAAATTTTATAAAAAAAAAAAATTATAAAATAGAATTTGGACTATTTATATTACTGACAGTTGTTAAATAATATGTGTCTAATAATGATGTATTTTGAATTGTAAAAACTGAATTAAAATTAGTTTGCAGGATCTTGAAAATGGCTCCTGAAGCCGAAACGTCGAATAAATAATACAGGATGTAAAAACTGTGTACATTTGGCCTAATATTTTATAAAAAACTTATGAGAAAATGGCACCGAACCTGAATGATATGACTAGAAAATCATATTAAAGGTACTTTAAAATAATAAAAACAATTAATTGCGCCATCAAACTCCCTTCTGGACATCCCGGAGTCAGTTTATAATTTAGACAATAGTGTTCTGTATTTTTCCATTATCATCATAAGCCTTAAAATAAAAACAAAACTACTTGTTACATTTCGGATGCTATCCGTCGTCAAGAACTTGACCCTAATCCAGAGAGTGTAGGCGATGGCAGGCACGCTGAGCTCTGGAGTGTAGACCGCTTTGTGCCTTCGGAATGTAGAAATTATCTTTGGCGACAGGCCGATGAATTCCAGCAATAGCTCCAGGTAAAGTTTCAATCTAAAAAGAAAAATAAATGTATTGAACGTCTATAACTATACGGATAGTGAGTGCTTCTAAAAACGATATATAGTCTATTAATCTATCAGATAAATTTATTGTAAACTAGTTGTCCCCTGCGAATAATTCTCAAAGTATATTGGTCAATGACAATAAGGAAATTAAATAGTTCAACATATCATAACATGAAGGAATCGTTTCCCATTTTTCGGTATTTGTAATCGACCAAGAAAAATAAAATCTCTCTATTATATAAAAAAGTTTTTAGTGACTTTCATATTTTTTTTATTATTATTATTAGAAGATAACAGGAGCTCAACTTATGAGGCGATTATTTTACAAATTATACAGCTGTCCATTTAATGACATATGTGTGAAGATTCTGTTACCTCCTACTCTCCTAATACAAGATAAAGATTTTAGTCTAAAAATTTGTACGGGAATTGGTAGTCTTCATCTGGAGGTAGTAGTTTGATTTTATCTAGGTGACAACAGTTATTTTTCGATTTGGCATTTTTCTTTGAACCGAATATATTAATTATTATATTATATACATGAAATAGAAAAGGAAGTACAATATAACGTATGATGAAAATATTAGAAATTGACAAGTTGAATATATATTATGGTTACAAATTAGCAATAAGAATAATTATAATAATTGACAATAAGGCGCTATTTATAATATGAATTTTTAAAGAAATTAAAAATGTGTCCGAACTGTGATTTCGTTTTGTTTATTTTATGTTTATAAAAAATAATACAATCTGAACTACAAGATACATGTAGATTATAATTATACAGTTTGAGCAACGAGAATTCCAATTAAATGAACAGTTGTATAATTTGTAAAATGGGGGTTGGAAGGTAGAGTTCATGCCATTTCGTGTTGCACAGTTCTATATCCCCGATAATTTTTGTGCGGATCAGTGGAATCGTTGTTAAGTTACTTTAATTTTTTTGAATGTAGAAAAAATATCAAGTGATCCAACCTGAAATTGTATGTAAAAAAACTATGATGTGTGCTTAAGACCACAGCATAGAAGTGGAAACATTAACAACGAGAGATAAATATTATGGAATATCATTTATAAAAAAAGTACATTACTATATGATACAAAAGCAATACATTTACAATATATACACTTATAATTCTCTAAGTATTATGATCAGATATATATATATATATATATATATATATATATATGTGTGTGTTTTGTTTCTCTAACACAGCGTCAAGTCAAGATAAAATTTAATTACACTAAATAACAATAGTTACACTAACTAGAACACTAGTTACCAAATGGACGAAATGCTAACAATGTCTCTTCCTTAATCTATGTAAAAACATATTTTAGTTTTTGAGATATTTTAATCAACAATTTTCAAAAAAACAAATCAAATGTTAAAAATCAATTTTTGATATTATCTTTTTCTGTTGTTGCCACTTTAACAGTGTTGCGTCGAGATACAATTCTGAATAATAGCTCAGGCTTTTCATCCAATATTTTTGGTCCATGGGCTACATTGAGACCATTAGCGGATCCAGGATTTAATTTTGGGGGGAGGGGATCTTCAGCTCGAAAGTTTTTTTTCTCATAAAAATAACGATAATTACTTTGGAAAAAAAGAAAGAAACTAACTACCTATATGAAATAGTGTTTAAGTGATTCCTAAAGTCCTTTTCAATGTAATTACACGAATAATAATACTTTAAGAGATAATTTTTCCATAAAACATGGTTATATTGAGACCTTAATTAAGTCCAGAGGGCTACATTGAGACTTCATTTTCATATTTTTGTCCGGTGCCCGATTTACATTCCCTTCCGCCATCACTCCCTATCTCATTCCATTAACTTGACCAGGGCGAATTATTCAAAACTGACAACGAAGTCTTCCTTAAGAAACTGTATTATTATACGAGGCAATGTTGCAGATTGAGGTCCTTCATTTTTAATGAATAATGCCATTATAAATATTTTTCCAAAACTTTGAAGTTTATTTACTTTGTTCTGCTTGTGGTATTTATTGTTCATGCATGAAACATATTTATATGCATATGGTGTTTTATTACATCATTTACGATTCACATGTTCATATATTATATATTGTGTATACTATGCCTATATTTATCTTTATTGGTAGTGATGATTTTTATTATTTGTCATTTTATTGCTTGCTATATTCTGCTGTTGAATTATTTTAATTATTGTATTATTGATTGAATTGAATTTATTTGTTAAAGATTATTTTACAATCTTGTACAAATCATATATATATGAATAACTTTATTTCACCTACACGAGTCTAGTTTATCATAACTGTACATTGAATTACTATAAAAAACAATGACTAAACAATGATACTTCATTACATCTCAATTAATTTCTATCTACATTATCAATAAAACCACAAAAAAAAAAAAATAAACAATTAATTGAACTGACCAACAATTATCCTTAGTCATAGCACTTGGTTGGTGTGTGAAACATCAGAGCTTAAGGAATCCAGTGAATTGCACGCTGACATTATGAACCAGTAAATTTTATTAAGTTTCTCTATGTTATCGATTCGAAGTATGTCTTGTATCTTGTTTACATCAGTTGGCGCAAGAATGTTTGAAAATGTTTGTGTCTGTCATCTGTTAGCTTTTCACAGTACAGAAGGATATGGAACAGGCTGTTAGAAATGAATTTGTTACAGAAAGTGCTGGACTTTGAAGTAGAAACTTTTGTTTTTCGTATAGAGCTTAATTGATTCGGGATTTGAAATCCTTAAATGGCTTATTGATCTTAGCTTTTTTATGTTAGCTCTACACATCAAATAGGACTCTGGGCTGGAAATAGTTCTATATATGGGATTGTTGTTGGAATTTATGGATAAATGGATGTCCTTAGATAGGTTATTGTTTTTTAGCTTTTCCAATATTTCATCGCTGTATTTTAATAATCCATTTGGGTATAATTTACTCTTCTTTACAGCCATAATGAGCCAACCATATTTCCTCTACTGGTTACAGAAATTATTGTTTGACAATACTAAGCTATGGCAAAAAATTTTTGATCAGCAATATTAGAGAGTATTGAATTTTTTATTGAAAGCCGGTTTATATTGCTTTAGTTTATCAAATTAATCGTATTCAAATCTTTTCTTTGATCAATTTTCAGGAAAATAAATTTAGTTCAATTTTTTTTTGTTTCGTCCTGACATATGTAAAGATATAAAAACTATTCTGAAATAATTAGGAAAGTCGTATGAGTGGACACACCAGATTTTTTTTCATTTACGAGTTCTATAAAAATTCGTATTTATGTACAAGTATTTAGGTGCAAACAAACGAATACCAACTTTCTCCCTTAAAAAGCTGTGAGGTCACCTTTATGTATAATAAAATCTTTTACTCCATGGACGTGCATTCGTCCGTTCGTGGGTGTTTCACCATCGGAACGCAAGTTGGGGACGCGACATCCCTTTCATCACCCTGGGGAGCAATACGGAAGTGAAACTTTGCACTCTCCTAGAGCCTGTCAGCCAATGGCTGCCCAACATGAGCTGCATCCAATCAGTTCTATCTCCTAGCAGTTTCACCCATTGTATTGCGCTGGATAACCTTTGTAACCTTTATATCTCCCTGCTTTCGCTTCCTTTAACCTTTCCCTAATAATTTCTTGTTTTATGTCTTATTAAAGGAATTAAAGCGTTGATGAAGCATGGGATTAGGTGGCCAAGCAGTCTTGAGTGAGAATATAGTCCGAGAGCTCGTGCAAACAAATTAACATTATCTAAGGAAAATTTTGAAAGTTTTTTTTTTTTATGAATAATTCTGTTTTAGAAATGAAAGTCTGCCAGTCAGAACATACTACCTGAAAAGATGGTGACTGATTTAAAGAATATTAGGCCAGTGGCTTGCGGATCGAAACGGAAAATTTATTATGAAAATGTAATTCGTATTCTGCGATAGTTATTTTGTATTTTATTAGCCTAAATCCATATATACAAGTTAAATAAATAAAAACTTTATTCCCGTTTTTCGCAATAAATTTCTCATTTCTATCTTCAAGTTATGGCCCTAAAATTTTTTAAATTGGCCATTTTTTCAGTTAACATGATTCTAATGGTAGACTCATTTTTGACATAAAAATGTAATGAATATTGAAAACAAATGCTTTAAAATTGTCTTCAGATAATGTCAGTTTTTTTTTACTCTCGGACTAAAAGGATAATCATGAATAATCTTATATTTAACTATTTAAATGTTAGAAGGTAAAATCGATGAATGATAATGTTTAGTGTCACGGGCCATTGTCTGCCAAGATATCGTTGTTTAAGGCACACGACTTTGTTACGCGACAGGATCACGTTTTGGTAAGATGTCTACTTAATGGTAAAGTTGCCATCAAAGGCAAGTCAACGGAGAAAGGAACTTTCGGGCTGAAGCCCCCTCTCCCCAAATCTTAAAATATAACCATGTCTTATGAAAAAAATATCTCTAAAAGTATTATTGTTAGTAATATTACATTTAATAGGACTTCAAGAACAACTTAAACACCATTTCATATAGGTAGTTAATTTTTCTCAAAGTAATTATCATTATATATATATATATATATATATATATATATATATATATATATACATATATACATATATATAAAGACTTCGAGCTGAAGTCCTCTTTCCTCCCCTCCTCCCAAATTATATCCTACATTGACTAGCAGCTGTAATTACATTACCAGAATCAGTATCTATCAAGAGGCTTTCCAAAAATTTATCTTGAAGTAACGAATTCTTCAAAAATACATTCATTAAAGTAGAATACAATCGCGTCAGATATATAAAAAGATAAAATTATGATTATAGAGACCAAAGAACTGCAATAACTCTTAAGCTAAAGGAAATTAAAAAAATATTTATATACCTTCTTTGTGGCACATTTTTTAATTACCATTCTCTCCATTTTATTCATAGCACAGAATAAAGTTATTAAAATATATTATTTTCGTAAAATCGTTTGTTAATGAGATATTTTACAATATACATATACATTTAAACTTTTCTCTACACTTCTTTCTAAAAACTGTTATAATTTTAGATATAATATTGCAAACTCCTATAATTTGTACTGTTGAAAGGAGATTTCAATTGTAATTTTAAAAAATACCTACAAGTTTTTTAATTTCTCATTTCTATTTTGATCACAATTTATATCTGTATGTTCAGGCTTGGAACTTAACTGAGTTAGCAATAATTAATAATCGTTATTATACTAACAAATATTATTTACTGCGACACTACTTCACAAGTTCTTCTCCACTTTAATGGATACAAAATCTCACGACCACACCATAAATGTTATACCGGGAATGGGAAAGTATGGACAACTTGTATAAGAGTATAAACTTACTTTAATTGCATTGCTGCTTTATGACTTCATCTGCCTACCCACGTGGAAAAGGGATTAAGAAATCTCTTATATCAGTTCCAGTTGTGGTCGGTCAATTCCGTCTATTTTCGGAATCCCGTCTACAGCGTGATCATGAGATCTTGTGGTCACACATCGTGTTAGAATGACACTTGTTAAATCGTACCTTTATTGATAATTCATTGAAGTTCATACTAACAATTGGTTATATAATTGGATATAATAATTCGATATAATTATCCTAAGTTTGGCCACAACAGAAAATTGAAATTAATCGTTCCTTCCTTCCATAACTCTGGCGGGAATTGAACAAAACTCACATATTAACATTCCTTTCCAGACTCGAAGTGTAATCTTTCGGTATATCTTTGAAGTTTGAATCATACTCCAACGCCTGAGGAGTATGAGAGTAAATTTGTTCACATATTTTCAACAGGTCGTTACCTTCTCTGATGAGAGTCTCTTCGCTTAGAAATTTATCTTCTAAATCTTCAGTAGGCGAGACGTCACCCATCTTAGTGTTTGTCCTAATAAACAAACATGTGGTTGTTTCTATGACAACCATAATAATTATTTTTAAAATTTGTAGTGTGATTTCGGTGAATATTTATTTTTAACTATGCCGCGCATCATAGGCGATATGGGAATTAGCAATGGAATGTCACGCATTACTGTGTAACAATACTTTTTTTAACAGAAATTTTTCGTAGCATCTTCACCCATCTTACTCATATTAAGTTAAATATGACCACCCTCTTCTTTTTACTCTTCTGTGTCAAGTGGCTTTCCTGGTGCAGCGCGTTTTCTCCTTCCCAAGGTTGAACAATGGTCTTCATTGTTTATTTCCACTTATATCCATTCTTAATTGTGTTCATTAACTGAGGAAAATTGGTCTCAGTCGAAACGTAGAGACCTGTTTCCCTCAGCAGTTTGTCCCTCGGTACCTCCTAGACATTACATTCTGCAACAAAGTGATCGGTGGTGTCTGGTGCCATCTCTATTCTTCGTAAGTTGAAAGACCTTTGCGCGGAAGCCACTATGCCCAATGAGTATTTGGGATACTCAGTAATTAGGTTCTATCCATTTCACTTCTAACCGGGAATAGATGTTGGGAAACTATTTCATCAAAGTAGACTCTTTTGGAGTCATTAACCGTCACTGGTTACATTAGATAAGGGTGTACTCTCGTATGATCCTTCCCTCCGCGGGGTTATTGATTGATCCTATCGCGGAGATTCTACGGTAGATCTGCCGACCCTTCCTTCACCCTCTGGTGCCTGAACATGTCTTCCTACAACAGGAGGTCGATAGGTATCCCTCCTGAATCGCTTCATGTGACTGCAATACCATTTAAGCCCTGATGTATCTCATCAAAACCAACCGTTTAATCGACGACTATCTATTTTTCTGATAATGCGAGAGTTCCAACCAACGGAAGTAACTCAGATTACCCAGGATTACAGCTTTATAGATGTTCATAGTCTGTAGGTTTGTGGGTTGGTTTTCCTAAATGAATCAGATTCACAGTTGATTTATTGAATTCCATTAGACATAGCGCGGTTGCTTCGTTTTTTTTTTTTTCAATTCTTTATTAAAAATTTATGTCACATCTAAGAACAATAGTAATAGTGGTAGAAGAATAGCTCATTTATACTATCTGTACATTAAATAAATATCAAAATAATTACTTAAATACATACATGACTTGAGTGGAGAATCTGGCCATTGCCAGAACACCAGTACATTAGTCCGTGGTACAGAACCCTTTTTATCAAATTATTAACATACGGTTGAAACTTCGTAATTCTGGGAATTGGGGAGTTTTCAATCCGGATGTCGGCAAACTTTCTCCATTTAATTAGGTATTAAAACACGTAAATACCCATTTGCTTTAAACTTGAATCGTAAAATAACTTGAGCACAATGTCTAGAAAAAAAGTGGCCTTCAAAAATATTGAGCCGTTTGGTGTAACCTACCAAATTACATTACTATCTACTACATTCCAAATTGTTAAAATAACGAGATTATACAAATATTGAGCTATTTGGTCTTTATAATCTCTTTATTTTGAACATTTGGGATGTAGGTCACACCAAATGGCTCAATATTTTTGAAGGCCGCCTTTTTTCAAGTATTTACATATTTATATTTAATAGTTTTTAGTACCTAATTAAATGGAAAAAGTTTACCGACTTCCAGATTGAGAACGCCCCAATTTCGAGAATTTTCGTATTTATTTACGATGAGATGAAGCTATTTAGCTATTTCAACGGGATGTTAATAATTTGTTAAAAAAGGTTCATACCACGGACTATATGCTTACAACAATTCTCTGCGCCACTGCCCCTTCAACCTTCGAGGAGGATTGTTAGGATGGATAGAGCTAGATAGGGATTGTGCAAGTGGTTTGGATTATATGTATGCTTTTGATAGAATTAGAGAAATTTTTCAGAGATAAGGTCTAGGACAAATGTGATATGAAGGTCATAGTGTAGGGTTTTGTTGGTTACATAGAATGGAGCATTAACTATAGTTCGAAGGACATTGGAATGATAGGATTGATGGGGTCTGCGTAAAGACATAACCGTGATTTGACTTCAAGGCCCTCTCAGCCGTAAAATAAATATCAGGTATTAGTCAGGGTCTGGAACGGAACTAGGATTTTCGCCTTTGGGGGCAAACATAATTAGTTACTTTACAAATCAGCCATTTCAACCATAACCTGATCTTCGTAAAGTATTGCAGTATTTTATTTGAATGAACTAGTTTTATTTGAGACGCTTCACGCTTAAAGGAAGCTTGCGCATTGCAGTTGTTTAACTACTGACCAATCTGCTATTCCAAGCTTAACCATGTCATTTAGTAAATATTAATTTTTCTAAAGATTGTATCTTAATTCGCACATGAATTTAAATTATTAAAGCAATTAATTTGCTTGCAACAGAGATAGAAATACAGATGGAGGTGACTGGTTATTAATTTCACATTGTATTGTTTTTTTGTCTTCATAAAAAAAAAGTAAGTAAGTAATGTATAATTCGTCCCTTATTAACGCATGTGCGAAAAACCTTACCAACACAATTCAGAATATTACAACAAAAAAAAACTGTAATAATAATTAAAATTTTCAAGGTTCAATGAATGTGGATCATCGGGTCACATCTACTTGTTCCCATATTATTATTATTATTTTTTATTATTATTTTTTTTTTTTGCGAAACCACATCCATTACTCTTAATATTCGTTCTTTCATGACACCTATTCTTGATAAATATTTTAAGTATTACTACACAAAACTCGTGTGGTCACACATAACAGTATTAATATACATATTTTTAAATTTCTTCAATCGACCTTTGAGTATTATATTTTAACAAAATTATTTAAATTGCGGATTAAGTCACTTATAAGTCACTATTTATCTATCTATCTATCTATATATATATATATATATATATATATATATATATATATATATATATATATATATATATATATATATATATATATATATATATATATGAGTGAGTGTGTGTGTGTACAAACCTCGAGTATTTCACTTTAATTATAAAAAAATAAAATAAAAAAGTTACAATAGAAAATAATTTTATTCTGGGACGAATTCCCTTTAGAATAACAAAAAATACAAAATTAAAGTATTATATCTGACCTAAGTAAAAACAAACATAAAAAGTAAAAATAAAGAGAAAAAAGTAAAGAAAATATTAGTTAAACACACCATGTACAAAATAAAAATAAATCTATATACAAAACACTTGAAACCATGCCAAGACACTTAAAACTATGTACAGTGGTAAAACATAAGTATACACTTTTTAAAAAAATAAATGAAAAATACATTACATTCTTCTTTACAATAAACTCTGTGTTTCTGCAGAAAAAGAAGAAGGATCAGATAGTAAGTATTTAAGTGATGAATTATATGTAAATATGTCATTATGTGAATCATTTTGAATAATATGTAATGTTACAATCCATGTAACATTGTATACAATGAATAATATGTAAAGTTACAAATTAATTTAAAGTGTGTCAATTACAGGCACAATTTATTTTTGGCTAATCAAGCTGTAAATAAATTTTGAAGTTTTCCATTTAATTTCAATTAGATTCAATATATATGTTTATTTCTCATTCAATGATATAATGATAATGATAGTAGACATTTATTAAGCAATACAGTTAAAAAATCATTACTCTACTCTCTATTACCTTCTACGACTTTGTATTTTCAGTGTTAATTTTTCTGAAATCTTTAACTTTCTTTAACTGTTTATCATACAACTTTATTATATACTATTATACTATGTAATAGTTTTCACGATCGCTAAACTTTTCTTTATCAAATATTTCATATATAGGTGAGTGAAAGTAAAAATTGATAAAACATTTAAACGTAGCTATTGTAACATTTTAGAAACAATTCTCAAATCTTAGAGTTTGTTAAGGTTTTCCAAAGAAGTAGGACTGCCGCAATCATGAACGATTCATTAATTGTGCCTTACATTGTGCCGCATTGACTGCAATCTACCCCTGCAGCATCTGAGACTAAGTTTTCTGTTCCTTAGAATGGTTTAATCTGGTTTTAAACTACTTTCTTTCCTAAGAGATTTTCATTAATTATGTTTAAACAGAATATATAATCATTAAGTGGAATTTCATAACCTTAACTAATTAAGAACATTAAACAATTTTTCCTTTATGAAACCAGAAAATTGTTTTAAATTTATTTGATCTATAAAAGATTTTGTTTCATTTGTATCCTCATACAGTTCTTTTGTATCAATAAATAAATTCGAAATTCATAAAAACATTATTTAAAATTAACCTATATCAAAAATGTACTTCGTTAATTTTTTCAACCGTTTCTATTTTATGTTATTGTTTACTTTTTTTTCTTTTATTTACTGTTTCTATTTTATGTTATTGTTTACTTTTTTTTTCTTTTATTTACTTTCTTCATCAGTATTATTTATTTATTTTTTATATTTATATTTATTTCTCTATTATTTGTATATATTGTTTGAATGAGAACTCTTAGCCCTAATACTTATAGCCCTCCAGCAGTGGCTGATTGTATTATTATTCAATAAATAGATTAAAAAAAAAATTTTTTTTTGCAATAAACCGACGATGTATGTTGATTTTAATTTTAATTTAACGGAAAGGTTTAATTAGATTTTGATTTGAACATCTAACATTGTAATCTGCAACAAATTACGTTCATAGTTTTAAAATATTTCATAAGGAGAACAAATAAATCCTTAACTGCGTATTGTAGAGGAAACTAGTAAACAAACAAAAGAAAAGAAAAAAGCGTCAGTACAGTTTCCTCACCAGTTACAATTTCATTATATTTTAAGGTAATTGATTTTTTGTTTGAAATAAATTTAAAGGGAAGCTGTTTTTTAATTATGGTCTTGGCAAAGTAAAATGGATGCATAAGCGAGAGAAGTAGACGGAATTGACTAAATATATTGGACCAGTGACTAGCGGATCCAGAGATTAATTTTTTTAGGGGCTTCGGTCCGAAAGGTTTTTTTTCATAAAAATAACGATAATTACTAAGGAAAAAAAGAAAGAAACTAACTACCTATATGAAATGGTGTTTAAGTGATTCCTGAAGTCCTTTTAAATGTAATTACACGAACAATAATACTTTTACCATAGTTAATTTTTTACCATAAAACATGGTTATATTTTACCATTTTGGGGGGTACTTCAACCCCAAAGTCTCCCATCCCATAGATCCTCCCGTGGGACCAGTTATGTATTAACAGTAGCAGGTATTATTCCCGTCAAATGGAACTTTGAGGCAAATTGAACGAGCCGTATTTTAAATATAGGTATATCTATAATTAGTGAATGAAAGTGAAAGTATTAAAGGAAATTTGTTAAAGTTGGTACATTATTATTTTTTATACCAATCTTCAACTTTCGTCGATCATTGTGCCAAAATCGAAAAATCCGTTTTTGAAACTTAAGCATATCAAAGCAAATGCATTTACATCTACCTAAGCCAAAGTATTGGATAGAATTTGATGAAACAGATAAGGTTATGAGAGATAGACATATCGATTAACGAGAACAACGTTTATCATTTCATCCTCTTTGTAATGAGATATTATTTTAAAAAATTATTTCATATTATTAATATCACTTGGTTGATGTTTTCACTTCTATCGTGTGTGTCTATTGGTCTAAAGCACACACACACACACACCTTAGTTTGTTACTTTCACTTACTTATATATGTTATATATAAGGGAAAGTATTACAATGAATAATTTTTGAAACTGATTTTTCAACGGAAATACACGTTTTGAGGGTCTCTAGGTCCAAATAACCAAGTCCCGAAAAATGGTCTGTGTGTGTATATGTTAGCAGTCTAGCTGATATTATAGAAACTGATATTACGTATTTAAGATAGGTATATTACTTAGATGCGACAGCAACTTTTCCCTTAAAATCGGCTAACCGGAAGTACCACTTTATATCTAAGGTGTAACACATTTTTAAAATTTTCTCAAAAATGGCTTTAACGATTTTGATTAAACTCCGTGTATCATTGTATAATTAAGTGGTCTTTAATATCATTTAATATCCGCATTGATGTCACTTTACAGTGCTTAATTGCCAAATATTCATATGCGTCTTCCTCTAAATTACCTTTAATATGTTTATTTTAACAAATTAACTCTCTATTCTTATTTTTTATTTAGAAATATTACATTCTGTCACATCAAGGACATTTATAATAGTGTTCTGAGAGCACACTCACACTCTATATACATTCACACCGTATCTCTATTATTAATAGTAACTATTAAAAATGGCTAAATATAAAGTTTGAAAGAATATGATCTCCGGAACAGTCAGAATGTATACCTATTATATATCGTTGGAAAGCGGAGAATTTTAGAAAGAATAATATCTAATAAATACATTTGTAAAAAGTAACGGAGAGTAACAAAAAATGTATACATAATAATTTCGGAAAACTGACATTTAACGAAAAACTTGAAAACTTGGAAGCATGTCCAAGGAAATTAAATGACATTTTCTTACTAAATTTTTTTAAGTTTGAAAACAAAAGTATTTAAAATCTATCCACTGAATCAAGCCAATGCCATTTTGTTCTAAATGTTTTGTTGGTTTATAAAAACAGATGGAGTAACTTTTATTGCCTATCGTCGATATAATAAATAGAGTTTTTGTTATTTTAAAAACAGGCATTATTCCTGCCAAATGGAACTTTGAAGCATATTGAACAAGCCGTATTTGAAATATAGATAATCTACGAAAATATAATTAGTGTGTGAAAATGAAAATATTAAAGGAAATTTGATAAAGTTGGCGCATTATAATTTTTTTATACCAATCTTCAACTTTCGTCCAACATTGGGCCTAATCGAATAATCCGTTGTTGAAACTTAAGCATGACAAAGAAAATGCATTTACATCTGTCTAAGCCAAAGTATTGGATAGAATTTGATGGAATAGATAAGGTTTTGAGAGATAAGACACTTCAAGGGGTTTAAAACGAAGGGTCTCGAAAGTTTTTAATGTTTAATGGTTTTGATGATTTATTATCTTTAAGCTTTAGCTCCAAATGCACTTCAAAAATTTTATTATAGCTCAACATTGCAAAAAACAATTTATATTCAAAGTAGAGCGGTAAGTGAATGTTGTGTGTTGCGCGCAGCAGATTTTTTTTTTTGTAAGATTTTGAATGTGTCATTCTTCTCTTCTCCATGAAATTCAATTCACTTTCTTTTGATATCTCATTATCGAAATCCATCGTTCCTGAAAGCCGGAAAAAGCATATCTCTTGGCGTATTACATATATATTAGTTTTTTTATTATCAATGTTTACTTTTGAGGTTACTCGGTTGCCTAGTTAGAACAGAAATTCGCTAAAAGGGGTAAGATCGTTTCGGAGAAGACGCCACCAGAGGGCAGCAGGAGCGGAGAGCGGACCAGAACTCAAGAGCTCAGTAGTTGACTATGTACGGCGAGAACAGGGGTGTCATCTTGCTCTTCAGGCTCGGTCTTTTCGTAGGCCTCCTCACCGCCGTCGTAACTGTGATCTACCTCACGCCTATACCCGGTGAGTACCCTAGCTATCTATGTGTATCCCTGGTCAGTATCTGGTCGGGTGACCTCACCCTCTGCCCCGGTCTTATCTCTTATCTAACTCTCCTGCTTCGTCAAGATCTTGATCGATGACAGTATACAGTAGCGAATCATAATAGGAAGTTGAATAGATCTTTAAATTAATTCTTAAAATATATGTGAAAAAAAAACAACTGTTTACATTTAAATATATATATTTCGAAATTATATCTTTGGTTTTTATCAAATATGTTTGATGTTATTTTTCCATTTTTCTAAAAAAAATACAAAAATAAAATTAGCATACTAGTTAATTAAAATATCTATAATATCCATCTATAATCTTTCATAATTAGGTTGCGATACGACAATACCCTCGATAATTAATTACCATTAATTCCTCCAAACGATGATATTTAAAATATTTAAAGATTTATTACTTATATAAAATATAAATAAATTCATCAATAGTTTAATAAAAAGAAGGTATAAGGTGGTGGAATGAAGCAAACACATATGAATATCTGTTGCCATATCTGAAAACGAGTTTAAAAATTCACCAAATTAGAAAAAATTACATCATCCATTATATATATTTTTTCTCTCTCTTTAAGTCTTTATCCGCACATTCATGAATTTGACTATAAGCAGATGTGGTGTAATGAACTTCGAAAGTGACATTATAAGTATGAGCAAGAATTGTATTCAGCAGCAGTCCTTCCTTATTATATTAAAAAAAAAATACCTGAATTCATTTCGTACCAAAAGTATTACTTTTTAGTAAAGTTTCGGTTATTTAAAATTTGGTTTTTGGTTAATAAAGCTTCTCTTGTTTTGTTCCATAATCATTTCTTTAATAATTTCTATCTTCAATAATTATAAGATTTAAAAATTAAGGATGTATAAAGAAAACTCATTGAAAAAATTCTTTGATGTCAAAATTAATTGAACCTATTACATTTTTCGTTATTTAAAATCATTTTATATTTCAATAAAACACTATATTAGTATACCATTTATTTTTTTAATAATATTTATGTTTAGAGTTCCTTGTTTATTACTGTGTTTTCTTCAATATTTTATAATTGACTTTATGAATAAAATAATTATATTGCAAACAAATATATGTATATATGTTATTACTTTTGAATTTTCAATTAATCATTTATTCAAAAATAATTATTGGAAATTTTAGTTTTCTTGCTTATTTTTATTTATTTAATGTTTTGGTTTTATTTTATTTTTTTAATAAATAAGAGGAATAATTAACCTCTTTTCAACATGTTTACATAAATTCAGTGAAAACCTTTTTTTTTTTTTTTTTAATCTGTATTATTGAATAATATTATATTCTCTCTTAATAAAGCACAATGAAAATAGTGATAAATATATGAATTTTCACCATACTTACAGAAAATATAAATAAATAGAATTATAGCAACGTATTAGATAGGAATTAGAACAAAATAAACTATAAAAACGAAATGAAAAAAATAAAATAAAAAATTAAATAATTATAATACTAGGATAGGCCATTTTTATTTATTTTGGACAGATGCCTAACTATCTGTTATGAATTTTTGTGTTGTTTTTTCTTCTGTTTAGTCGTCGGATCCTTCTTGTAAGGTAGATATGGTTGCTGAACAGGTCAATGCCACAGCAGTCTTAATAATTAGTGTTTTTTTTTTCTTTTTGTGATTAAAAAATACCGATATACTGAAAAATACTGATCCAATATTTTCGTCTCCATAAGGAATTTATTTTGATATCCTCAATTCCTTAAGATACTCTTTCATAAATCGATACCATTGTATATTCTTTTTTTTTAATCTACACTAAAAGTATTTAGTAAGGACTGAGATATAAAATCATAACAAGAACTGGAGCAATATTTTATTATTATCATTATATCATTATATTTTATTATTATTATTGGTTATAATTATTATAACAAATACGAATGTTTCTCATTTATCAATGATTAAATTCTCCTTTTTTTTCCTAAATCAAATACGATTCTATTTAAATTCAAATTTGACTGACGTATAACCTTATCTAGGCTCCACAAGCTGGAAGAGGAAGTTTCCTGAAAAAGACAAATCTTCCTGTTCCGGGCGACCTTGAAACAAGTTTCTTCGCTCATTTAAATCTTTGACCTCGATTAATTTGAAATTATTGTTTGATTTGTTTTGATTTATCAAAATAGTTAGGTATATTATTATCTTTTTTTTTACTATTTGATATTTACAAATAATAAAAAACAATACTTATAAAAAATTATATTTATACATTTCATTGTAAACATTCAGATTGTTGATGGCTTTTTTATCTTAGTTATTTGATATATGTAAATAACTTTTTACTTTGGATATTGATGTATTTGTTATGTGGTATGGGTCCTCAAAGAGTAGCGCAAGCGAATGTATGTGGTTTAATTTAACTCTGCAAAATTTTATTTATCATATTACTTTAAGGACAACCGTAAGATTTTTTTTTTGGATCGACCATACCGTAAATTTTTTAAATCTTCATAAGCGATAATACAGAAATATATACTATCATGTAATATTATTTAAATTAAAGAAATTCCCTTTAAATTTAAGTGATTCATATCAAGCTGTGATCATTTTTTCATAATCTCTTTTTTTCTGAGGTAGTTTCAAAGTTAAATTCGGATACGAACCAAGATATGACGAATTAAGAATTAAATATCAAAATTCCAGTATTTCATATGCAGTTCCAACTTTCATAAATTCCCTCAACGTGTTAGAATTTCCCAAATTCTTATTTGGTTCCCTTTTGATCAAATATGCTAAGATTTGCCGTTTAGTGTTGTTTTCCAGATAATACAATACTGAAGAAATGGAATGAAATTAAGTTAAAATTTAGGCATTTTTAAGTTGTAGCTCTTTCAAATTGAGTTAGAGTGTTGAAAATTTGGATATAAATTGATTTGGTTTTAGAAAATTAGATTTTTAGAATCTCCATTTTTCTTTTCTACCGTTCGAAACAAAGGGAAATGTCATATCTAAAAGCTCAAATAATATATAAAAAATGTACAGTATTAGGCATTATACTATATGGAGCAGAAACCTGGACCATAAAGAGTGAACTTAAGAAAAAACTCCTTGCAACAGAAATGGATTACAGGTGATTATCGATAAGAATATCCAGAATAGATTAAATAATGTAAGAAAAATATCGATAAATGATGGAGGTCCACAAAAACATTTAAGCTCGAGAAAAAGAAATTCCTCAGGTAGTTCAAACATTTAAAAAAATGCTGAAGCGAGATTGCCAAGGGAGGTTTACATTTGGAAAATTGGTAAAAGAAGAAAATGTTGAAAATCTTCTCATAACAACGTAGAATGAATATATGAAAGAATCGAAAGAACTGAACCTTGGGTAGAAAAATATGGAATGAGGCCTGAGGGAATTTTTAGGTTAAGGAAATACATTGTTTTTTGTTTTTTTAAATCCTTTTAAAATATACATGAGAAAAGAATTTAGCATTTCAATTTATCTTAAAATTTTCTTAAGATAAGCGTTGAGTAATCAATTAAATAATATTTCATCTTTTTTCCAAACAAAATACCACCTTAGTGAGGGAACTCTGGTTTTCTAGCAGCATCTTAGAGGAAAACCCCAGACGCAACTGTGGAATATAGGAAGCTATTTGTACACAGTAAATGCCAAAGGCTCTTACATTTAGAGGTCCTTGCGAAACCCTGGAGATCAACTTTCGCCTGTTTCACATCGTCCTAGTAATGCGTCGGAGAAGGAAATTGAAAGGAATTGACTGTTTTTGAATCTTAAATCGCCATAATAGCTTAAAACAGGTATAATTAACAATTGTTCGTATAAATTTTAATTGACCTATAAATTTTAAAATCGAATGAATCATCACTGATTGCTATTTTCCGAAATATTATTATTTATTGTCTGATTGGATGACATGAAACCTTAATTTATACAAATATATAATTATAATATAAATTTTTGCAATGTAATTTTACTAACTAGCCAAAATATGTTTCTTGTCTTCTATATAATTCTGATAATAAACAACCATTTTCATAAAAATTCGGAGTCTAAAAATAAATTCCTGTAAATCATTTTTTTATTGAATCGCGGTTTTTTTTGTTTGTGTGTTTTATTTTCATTCACAATCTTCGGCTATGGAATAAAGCGTTTGTCAAATAGTTGCAATTTTTAAGCTTTGAGAGTAATATGAATGACCGACACTTATGGTTAGTGTTGCCCAAAATCGGTCTTGGTCTTGCACTTTGCAAGACCAAGACCGAAGCCGTTTAACTGTTGCAAGACCAAGACCAGGACTGGTAAAAAATCAATTTTTTGAATAAAAATTAAGGCGAAATAGTTACTAATACATGACAATATTAGTTACTATAAGTAAAGTATTGGTATAGCCAATATACTTTTGCATTTAACTCCTCTATTTTTTCATACGAGCTTAGTTAGATTTCTTCTATCTAAAAAAATACAGTAATAAGCTAATAAGTAACTGCACGACTGTTACGAGACTCTTGCGCAATACCAAGACCATGACTAAGACTGAGTTTGCAAGACCAAGACGTCTCAGTCTCGCATTTGGGCAACACTATTTATGGTTCAATTTTGATAATCCAATGTAATTAATAGTTAATAGATTATGATTAGGGGCTGAAATGAATGAGCGGGTTAAGCTTGCAATAGGTTATCAAAGTTAACACATATTCGTCCACATGACGAAAATTCGTCACTTCGCAAATAATCACCAATAGCCAAATAACAAACATTCGTCGTTTATATATTACAGAAAATAATTTTATTTTTCAACTTTATCTGTTAATTACATTTATTAACTGTCATCAGATGTGCTGGTTAAATAATGAGAACAGAAAAATAATTTATTCTTGTTCTTTTAATATAAAATAAATTGAAATATAATTTTTACCCAACAGAGATAAAGGGATACCTGCATTTTGTGAATGGCGGTGCAAAAAATAAATAAACGAATATTTGTTAAGCATCGTCGAGCATGGTAACTATTGAATGGGAGACCGCTCTATATGAGATCCGTCAGTCTACTTGAGGCAACTCACATCGACCGG